GGACTAATATTTTGCAGGTCCAGTCCATTTGACCATATTTGTTATGTTATATTTAATCCATCTAGACAGTGACACATGGCAAAGTATTGTGTTAAATATTTTAATTGGAGTAGGCATAAAACTGAATATGTGGGACTGTTATATAAAATAACAACATAAGAGTTTTTCTAGAAGGTGATCTTACATACAGGAGCTTACATAGGAACCTGGGAACAGTTTTTTTTAATCCTAAATTATGCTTCAAACTAAGCGATTTCATTTCTATGTTTTACGGTTTAGTGTGAATATCGCTTGAGGAATGAAACTCATTTTATATCCTTCATTTCCAGGGGAGGGGTCTACACTCCAGCAGCTCTTTTTGCAAAAACCACCCTGACGGACCGCCTCCACAAACACGGGATCGAGTTTACTGTCCTCTAAAGTTTGTCCCCTCCCTGATGCCATACTCCAGGTTTTTGTCAGCACTTACTAATACTTACAATACACTAAGAGGGCTATTTAATCACGATAGCTTTATGGAGTGCACTTTCAGATTAAGCTCGAACAGCATTTTTGATTGCATTTTCTGCATTTATAATTTCTTTATTTAATCAGATACTTGCTGGTGTCTCTTTGGCTTGAATGTACTATTGACCCTCTGCTTGAAAGACAAAAGGCACAGCTGCAGCAGCCAAGCACAACTATTATTCAACAATGCACAACAGCTGCGTGTGAACAGGTTTAACACGGCTATGCACTAACATGATTATTGTCCATGAAGTTTGTTCAGGTTCGCTGTGTGTCATTTCAATTCATCTTTTTACCTAATTGGACAAAACATGTTTACTACTAGTCTTGCTCTACTACTGTACACTGTCAGGTGATACAAGTGAAAACATTTAGATTGCCTATTTATCATACCAAAGATCAGTTAGTGAAATATTGTACTGACAAATATGAAATTATGATCCAACAGTGTTTACATCAAATCATTACAATTCTAATAATGGTGTGTCCACATCTTCTGCATAATAAGAATCTCCTAAATGATGCAGCCTTTATGATATTTACCTACTTATACGTGGCAACAAACTTGTGTGTGTGTGTGTGTGTGTGTGTGTGTGTGTGGGTGTGTGGGTGTGTGGGTGTGTGGGTGGGTGTGTTTTGTTTTTGACAGTTTGATAATAGCTAAATCATCATACTTTTTCAATCTTTCTACAGTTTTTTTGTATCTGAATGCTGCAATGGTTCACCATTACGAACATGTGTTTGAGCCTTGACATAAAATGCATCCAGTTTGTGCACGAGACGGCACCGTTTACTCCAATGGACTGAAAGTATCCTGTCTGATGTTTTGTTAACATGTTTGTGGGGGGGTTTTTTTATCCACAAAAATCTCAGTTCTTGTTTTTCCATTTTTGATTATGTGCATGTGACAAGAAATATTCTGGGTTTTGTTTGGTTGTGCTGCGCTTTGTTTGGGCCTCATAAATAAAATCATCTCTGCAAAATAAAAAGTGCCTGTCTTTTTTGCAAAGATCTTTGGATACATACTTTATGAGCATAATGCATTTCCTGTCTACAGGAAGAGGTTCTCGTGATTGGTGGTTTACATTCAAATACTTTTTTTCAAAAAACAAAGTATTATAGAATTTTAAAGTTACAAGTTGGGACAATCTCTGAAAAAACACTCAATAAGTTGATATCGGTACATTTCCATTATCAAGAATGTTGTGCCTAATTGATTTGGCTCGCTATCACGCTGACCAAGTGAGAAATAGGTTGAGATAAAAAAATAAAGTAGTTCTGTGAGAAAGATGTTACTGACACAATGTCATTTTATTTAGTTTAAGACTGTATGATTCATTATTACCTTATTTAAAATGAGTCGTATGTCCCGTGTTTAAATAATCAAAGTCAACTTTATTGTCAATCTTCCAGTTTGTGTGTACAGACAGAGAGATCGAAATACCGTTTCCCACAATCCCAAATATAAAAACATGTATATAAAAATATGTGTGCAAATATGTATATATATGTGCACGGTCGGTCAATGACACATTTTTACATGTGCACACATTAAGACCTAAATAAAAACACAACAATCAATATGTACAAAATAACAGTCACTTCAATATTTGAGAATGTACATTAGTGGAAGATTGTCCATAGCAGCGTAAAAAGCATCTGGTGCTAGATTTGAGTGTCTGAGTGTGTGGGAGAGTTATAGTCCAGTGGGGGCAGGGGGGAGAGGGGGGAGAGAGTTCAGCCTCCTGACAGCCTGGTGTAAAAAACTGTTCTTTAGTCGAGTAGTGCTCGACCTCAGGCTGCGGAACCTCCTCCCGGAAGGCAGGAGGGTGAAGAGGCAGTTGGAGCGATCATGGGTGGGCTCACCCACAATGCTGAGTGCTCTGCGGGTGAGGCGGGTGTTGTAGAGGTCCAGGAGTGACGGGAGTGTGGCACCGATGATCCTCTCAGCTGTGCTCACAATAATAAAAGGATTATCATAAAAATACAATTTATTATTGTGGCCAGGATAATCATCGTAAAGTGAACATTTCATATAGCCCCATTCCTGATTCTAGACAACTGAAAGTCAAGTATTGCATCAGTGAGAATCTCATCATGTATCGTTGAAAGAAAAACTTAAATCTTAAGCATCACTTTCACAGGAAGTGCCATCTTTTATGTTTTATAAATAATCCTTTAATGCTCTCAAAAACGTTTCTGTTTCACATTTAATTCAGTCAGCCATCCATAGTTTTTCTGAAAGACATCAGCTCAATAGTCTCAGCAGTGAGTTGAATCACGAAGCTCTCCACACTGTTGGCTCTAATATTGAACTAAGGTACGGAGAGTAAAGCAATCTTTTACTTTTCACAATTGAACTAACAGAAACAGTTTGTCAAATGTGGTATACCAATATCGTTATCATTCACAGTATGTTTTTCATTCAGAAAGAAGTGTATACTTTCTAAAAAAATAATGTATGTCATTACTACACCTGTTGTACCTTATCCCGTCCTAACAGGATGGGTTGAGAAACGTTTGGCTTCAACATCAACAGTAGGCAAACACTGTGCAAAGCAACACAAAGTGCAAATGATATACTATTACGCAACGAATGGTGACTAATAATGAGTTCAATTTATTTTGCTAACTCATGTTGTTCAGACAGACTTTGACTTTTTCGCACAGCAACAATGACTTTGGATTTTTTCTCTCATCTCCTACGTTTGGATCCTGTTGGGAAATAATCTTTTGTTGGTCATTCTGAACAGGCAACACGACTACATCAAAGTCACACACTCTCCTCCACACTGTGACAAAGCTTATTTCAGGATTAATCTTCAGGTTGTGAGATTGCATGCTGATACAATTAAAACAATGATTAGCAATAACATATGTTCGTAGTAGCAGTGATATCCCCACAGAAAAGTGCCTTAACATCAGCTACATTACATTTAGCTGACACTTTGATAAGTGCACTCAACCATGAAATAGTTCATATTTAGCTGTCTTTGGCTCTTTTCTTGCTGTAACAAATGCAAATGTTCCCTCTGTGGGACGTATAAAGGTGTTCTGATTCTAATTCTGAGCAACAAACTCAAAGATCCTACAGGTACATTTCCTATCTATAATCCCAACCAGATGAAGTGCTACTGCACAGTCCACATCTGGACCTGGTGTGTGTGTGTGTACAATTTATATATGTAAAAAAAAGTTTTGCCAGCTATTTTGTAATTTTACAATGCAACGTCAGATAAAAGTAATTAAGAAAATCGTACTCTCTAAGTCTTAACATGTTCAAGATTTCCAAAGACTGATTTGGGAAATTGTATTCCCAATTAAGGCCATATTTTTTAGAATGAATTCAATGCAGCTTTTTAGACTTTGTTCACAGGAACCTCGGACAATACAGTCGTGTTTGCACTTCCGCAATGACTTTGGAATTTGTGCCGTTATAGCTTACATTTAGATCCTGTGGGGAAGGGACATTTGGTTTGTCATCATGAACAGCTTTTTTTATCATCTTGTGAGATTACATGGCTGATAGCAATCTATCATTAAACCAAGAATTGGCATCAGCAATAATATATAATAAACTCATGTTTTTACTAGCAGTGATATCAAGCAGCTGTCACTGAAACGTGATTTTATGCAAGTATGTATGACTATGTTAAATTGTATATGTATACATATAACTATTGTCTGTCTGGATGTTTGTATATTCATCCTCATCCATAAGTGAGTCTTTGATATTATTGATATATCTTACTGACCAGCCCCTATAGTCTTTGTTTTATTACTTTTATTCCCTGCTGTATTGCTAAATGTATGTCTACATCTCTTTGGTTGAAATATCAATATATTATAATATAGGCTGTATCCTCTTGGTGTAATGACAAGCTGAGTTTGTGGAATTTGTAGACCTTTTTTTAAAGTAAATTGTGTATTTAGCAGAATATCAATTTGCACAAATATATCTAATCTCATCTCACATTCAGAAAATACCACCTCTATGACTGAATTAAGAGCTGACGTTAATAAGATACTATAATCAGGGTTCATACACTTTTTCACCAATGATTTTCAATGACTTTTCCATGATTTCTCCATGACCTTTACCTAATTTTCCATGACCAAAAAAAAATGACTCTTTCTCAGCGGTACCACTGAAAATGGTTTATTTTAACATGGAACAGGAAAATAAGGTCTGCATATGAAACATGTTGTGCCTATCTAAAACAAATGAAATAGGCTTACTAGCTTCTACACGCTAAAGCAACTAAAATCTCTCACCAGCAAAACACCTCGTCAGTTAAATGCCATTTTACGTTTCATTACTATACGATACAGTATGTATTATCATTATAGTATTACTATTTCGGCGATTAGCTAAAATATAAATTATATTTGATGCAACTTTAGTTACAGTTCCATGACTTTTCCAAAACCTTGGGAAAAATATTGTTTTCCATAACTTTTCCAGGACCTGGAATTTGCATTTTGAATTTCCATGACTTTTCCAGGTTTTTAATGACCGTAAGAACCCTGTATAATGCAATAATGCTTTATCTCTTTCATGGAGACAGCTGCTGAAACAATCAATATATATAGTATTAAGAAAAACATTTGACTTTTCCATGACCGTTATTAGAAAGTACATATGGGCATATATAAACTTCACCATGTCAAGAAGTAAAATCGGACTAAAGCACCAGATATTGTAACAAAATTCTAATATTTATTCATAAAAATAAATGTATCTCCGGTACAAAACAGACGGCAAATTGTTCATGAATAGAAATGGCAGGAATATGATTTGTTCTTCCTCACACAATGTTTCTTGGCAGTTTAAATTGTAAAACATCTAATTTGTTCCACTTATTAGCTCATACTTTAAGCGCAACCTTACCAAACTATTATATATCCATTGTTTTCATTCTGCAGTTCAGTGGCTATCTAGCAACCTTTAAAAAAAAGGCGGAGCCCCTCTTCTGCAGTACAATATCTTTGACGATAGCTTTCAAAGTACCAGCGTACTACATTTGCATTTTGATCCATCTTTCAGTCCAGTGTTTGTTGCTCATACGTCTTCGTGGTTCAGCAGCTGGTGGGAGTAGATCACGTCTTCGTAGTGGTATTTCTCTGATATCGTCATGATGGAGTCATTGCACCGGATACTACTCAGAATCTTCAGCACCTCAACCACAGCAGACCTTCAGGAGAGTAGGACACAGAAAGAGTGCATTACAGTATTGTCTGTTGTTATAAATGTATTAAGAGTCATGACATCTGAGTGAATTTATGCTAAATACATTTCATGTCGTCACCAATGCTGCCTACTTGATATGATGGGGAAATAGCCTTTTCAATAAATAAGTATTACAATTAAGCATTTTGGATTTTAGCATTTGCGTGGCTTTGAAAGGTGAACTTAATGACGTGCTGCATTACGACATAAGAGTCTGTTTCATTTCACTCTGACCAAGTTGACTTTACAACAAAGAAAATGTTATGTTCCTTACTTGGTGTTTGGCTCCTCAGGAGGCTGCTGTTTGCAGATGCTATGAGCTTTCTGAACAAGGTGGTTTCTGAAGTTCTGGAGCTGAGGCAAACAGGAATTCTCTCCTTTGAACCAAGAGAGCGGCAGACTGTCTGCTATCTGAAGAAAGAGAGGGAGGAAGTGTGAGGTTAAGAACGTGAGGGGTAGTTGACGAACAGCCAGACCTTTATAAATTAAGCATAAACAAACAATGAAAATACACACACCTTTCTGCATGCATGGACGGCCCTGTTGCTCAGCGTCTGGCTGCACAGCGCGGTCAGCAGGTATCGGTTCAGAAGTTTGTCCAACATCAGTTCCTTCAACACAGACTCGGGAAGCAGCAAATCCCATTTTCCCATGTTACCTAGCAGCTATACAACACACACAACAACAATTAACAGCAGCCTGCAAACATTTCCTTCCCCAAGGGAAAAACTAAAACAATATAACAAATATTTAAGTATTATTTGTAAGAGAGCAGTACTTTTATGGCCGTCCAGAACTGTTGATCCCTGAAGTGACACTGAGGAGACGAGATGTCTTCTAGGAACCTGTTAGAAAAATAAACAACATTAATTACAGATTGAAAATACCATAGAACGTTATAAAGTCATTTGAAATAATTTGCATTAGACCTGATCTTTAATCCATCACAGTTAAAGGATGCTGATCGTCTACTGTACAGTCTGGAAAGCCCACTGAGACAAATGTGTAATTGTCTGTTGTTGGGCTTCATAAATAATATTTATTTATATTGATTGATAAATGTATCATGAACATGGAAAGAGGTGTAAGAGCATGGGCTAATGAGTGGACATGTCTTCAACAATGATAATACAGGATTAAAGGTGGGGTAGGTAAGTTTGAGAAACCGGCTCGAGATACACTTTTTGTTATATTCCATGGAATGCTCTTAACATCCCGATAGCAATGAATATCTTAAGTGCTTTGACAAAAAATCCATAAAAAAAATGTCATCTGTGGAAGCCGTAATACTGTAAAAAGCACGACCAATCATTTTAGCCGGCCCGGCTAAAATAACTGGATGGCCTACCTGCCTGTCAGCCTTCCATCTGTGCACAAACTTATCTCGTGCACTCATTGGTCATGTGCGCATTCGTGTGTGTTGGAGGAGGGGCTCTGTAAGGAAGTGGCAGATTTGTTCCGGCTGTGTATTTTCAAATTCTAGCGCACTCGAGCCGGTTTCTCCAAAATGACCTACCCCACCTTTAAGTATTTTCTGCTTTCTCCTCGTTAGTCATACAAATGTTCAAACTTAAAAAGGCAGGAAAAGAACCTGACGTTTTAGGGTACAGAGGGATGAAGACATCGTCATCCACGCAGCTCCTCAGTTTGCTGATCACAGCCTCTCTGAAGGCCTGCAGGGGACATGAACACAATGAATACAAAAATGCATATTCAATTATATTGGGGTTAATACAATTAAATATTGAGGACTTATTGCTTTAGTGTAACTTAAAAATCCTAAAGAAGTAAAGCAGGATAATTTCTATGAGTTGGCTTTACCTTGACCGGTTTACTCTGCTCTCCTTCAAAGATGGAGTAGTCCTCCTTCAGCCGGTGACAAACATCCGACACACAGACCGACTGTTGGCGGGACATGGGATCCCACACCAGCTCCACATAGCCTGCGCAGAGACACAGGAAATACACAATGTCATGTTTCTGTAGTTTGACACATCTGTGCTCTACAAACAGACAGAGGACGTGAAGTGTTGAGGGGTTGTTGTAATATAATAAATAACTGAGGATTCCTGCTTTCCATTGTGGAGCAGCAACCTGTTAAAGGAGCAGGAAGCGAGGGGATGAGGGAGAAGAAACATGTTGTTCTTAAAGAGGAACAGGTACAGAAACTGGTAAGAATATGTTTTTCTCTTGGAAATCGTGTACAGACTTGTTAAGACTTGCCAGAGCACATTTTTAACCTGAATATAACCGCCACAGCTCCAAAGCACTTGCACCTCCAACTCACAATAGCTTTTTTAATCATCAATTAATCTGCTGATTTTTCTTTTTTTAGAATAACCGATTCATCGTTTGGTTTATAAATTGTGAGAAAACACTATAAAATGTTCATCCCAGTTTCTTATAGTCCGAGGTGATGTCTTTAAATGTCTTGTTTTGTCAGTCCAAATCCAAACAATATTAAGATCGATATGATATAAAACAAAGAGAAGCAGGAAATGTTTATATTTGAGGCTGAAAAGGCGTTTCCTACTCTATTTGCATTCAAATGTGTTTTTTCTTCTTCTGTAGATTGACTAATAGTTGCAGCTCTACATCAAATAGCTTTTACCAATGTGCTCTTCCTATTGCATTTCAACACATTACACACATTTAAAACATGCCTCATTAGTGAGTGTGTGTTACCGGTCAATTTGGGTATGACGGTCTTTTCTATGACATTAGACAGTGTCTGTCTGTCTGTGTTCTCCAGCTCCTCGTGGCCATGACCATGACAAAATGTCTCCACTGCAGCGAACCACGGGAAGTTTTCAAAGTCCCCACTATCACTCTGTTACAAAACAAATATAAAAGGTCAAAAGTTGTGCTATGACATCTGTGAGCATGTAAGAGCTAGTGTCTGTGTTTGTGTCCACATGTACCTTTAATGGGTTCCATGGCAGTAGCTGATGTCTAATGATGGGGTTCAACAACTTGGGCAGACACAGAGAGATGTAGGCATTGTGGTAAGAGTCAGAGTAAGACCCTCTCCACTCCTCAAATCGGGACAAAATCTTCTTCACGCTGGAAAAGTCATCCTGGACGTCAGAAAACACCGTCTGGGACCTCAAGAGGATATCAGCTGGAGAGAGAACAGAGCGAAGTGCAGCATGAGCAACACTTCATCTGATTTTCGTCAAAAAGAATGTATCACAGTGTAGTGTTAAAGCTTTTAGAAAAGATCTGGCCTGTAGGTGAAAGCCATTAGTCTATTAGATTTGATTCCTTCTCACCTATCTTCTTCTGCAGCTGCTCCTCCTCTTCTGCTGAGGGCTGGGTGTCTTCAGGTAGATCAAAATCTTCTTCAGCTTTAACACCAGAGGCTGCACCGCTAAAATATGTAAAGTAGAGTACAGTACCTATTTCAATCTTGTTTATGTAAAGAAGATATCAGATATATGAAAAAAGTTATAAACCAAAAAAGAAATAACAGAAATATTTGTACACTCACCTTTGAGTTTCTGTTCCATTAGTTGGACTTCCACCCTGCTCATTGGTGCCATCTAATGGGATAGATAAATCGGGCTCATGTAAATATTCTTTCTGGAGAGTATTTTGCTCCACATTGTACACTGACACAATGCAAATAGAGACAGGTGGACACACAGATGTAACTTACAGCTGATCTGCTGCAGGCGGTCTGCCTGCTCCCTGGTCCTCTGTCGTCTCTGAGCCAAAAGCGCCTCCATGTGGTCGGACAGTAAGGAGTGCAGATCCAGCTCCACGGAGTTGATCTCCACAACCTGCCAACAATCAGAGAATCATCCATTAACCAGTCAGAACATTCTGCAGCTTCCTGTTGTTTTAAGGAGTAGAGCTACAACTGTTCCATACAAGCTGTTAGTGTTACACAAAACTGCCTGATTATGACAGAGCTTTGAATAGAAAGAGAGATCAAACAATAATTAATTGACATTAGCTTTTATGTAACCGTTAAAAGACATTAACAGAACAGGTTCACTCCTTTTCTTACCTTCTCCCGTAGACACTCCACCACGTTGTGGACATAGAGGTTCGTGTCCCTGTAAAACCTGAGCTGTCTCTCAGAGGAACTTTCCTCCAGAGTCTCGGCGGATGCCCGAGCGTTCTCCACATCGCCCTCCATCCTCCTCAGCTCCGCCTGCCGGGCGCTGTGCACCTCCTTCAGGGATTCAAGTCTAAAGAGAGAAACAATTGTAACTTTAATTATAGAAATTGAATCAATTTATAATGTATTAACGTTTTTTTAATTTAAATAACAATATTAGGTTATATCAGATCAGTATTTGATTCATAAATGTTATCCCTGTTGACATTAAAGAATTTAAAGGAGGAAACTTACTTTCCAGTGATCCTCTTCTTGACCATTGAGACACTGACGGCAGGAAAAGTTGGTATTTTGAGCCCTTTTGATTTTTTCCTTTGTCTGTCCCGCCTGTTGCTGCTGCTGTAGCTGCTGGATTCACTGCCAGATGGGCTCTGACAGGAAGGAAAGAAAAGGATAAAGGATGTAACAGCTGTAGTACTCAGGAGGATAGTTACACTCATGGAAGCCTTGAGTGTTTAGTAATATAAACTATTATCCCACTTAGATACAAGAAGAGTGAGACACAGACAAATGACAGTAGAAAGATATCAAATATCTTTACCTGTTCTCCCGGCCGTCTCTTGACTCCCTTCTCGATTTGTGTCTCCTCCCAAAGAACCTGCTCATCTACATCAGATCCTGAGAGACTGTCATCACTGTCTCCTAGATTTACACACAAACATATAAAATAGTAAACTTCACAACTCCACAATTAGGTGCAAAACAGACAGAGATTTCCAGACAGCCAGCCTAGTTTCATGTCTATGACGCTCATACAACAGACTATTTTAGTTTAATTCAGTTACTACAACAGAAGATTGAAAAATACAATCGATTCTCCCTGCTTTTCATACCAAGTTTATCTGCAATCCTCTCCCTAATGCTCTTCAGTCTTGGGGCGAACTCAATTCTTCTCTCGTGATCATCCGGCTCATCATCGTCATCATCAACTCTGTCTTCGTCATCTTCCCTGCTGTAGTGATCCGGGGTGCTACCAGCTGAGCTGTGGCCGTCTCTACCCAGGGAAATGAATTCTTTCTGGGCTCGATTGGCGCGACGCTGCCATCTAGCTGCCTTGATATCTTTAGCATTAGGGATGACTGCTGTAACGACAAATAAATGCAGGTATGGACAATGAACATGTATGGAACAAACATAGATCCAACTGTTGATCCACACACATCCACAAACCTTATACAGACATTTCTCCAAAAGCATGCAGGCTTATTTTGAAGTGTTTCTGTAGGACCCTGCAGTTTTGTCTAGTCTAAAACCTTTATCAGGCACACACCAACATCTATCAGTGGATTCAAAACCCTGACTGTTTTCCTCTCTGACACACACATACAGTATAGACACATAGAAAAACCCTCATACCTGGTTTAGTAGCAGAGCAGCTGGAGTCTGAGCTAGCTGAGGGAGACCTGGCATCACCTTCATCACTGTCATTGTCATCATCGTCATCATCTTCATCATCCTTATTGCTGTCGTCATCATCAGTGCGGGGCAGATCATGTGGTGAAGCCTGACTGTCTGAGTCTTGCCTGGGAGAAGCAGACGGTGGGACAACTTTACCTGCTATGCCAAAAAAAAGGGTCACAATATGGTGATGTTAGACAACATGTTGTCATTATTATAATAAGAGAAAACTTCTTACTACACGTATACAGTTTATAAGCACCTTTTTGAAAACAACACACCCCTACACTTCAAAAATGCATAAATAAGTATGTGTCCTCCTACCACTTGTTTTAAGATCTATTATTGTTCTATATTACGGGAGAAGGCATTAGATATAAAAAGCTTGCACCTGACGTATCATTATTGGACATATACTGTGTTTTAATACAAATCTATGTCTGTAATGGCACATCTATCAGTGTGGCATACCTCTTCTTTGTTTGGTCTTGGCAGGTGATGCTTCCTTCTTCTTCACTTGGAACAGCACAGCTTTATCAGAAGACTTCTTCAGTTTAAATGTTGGTTCCTTAGCTGAGAAAATAATAAAGAAAAGAGATCCATGAGCAAAAACCTGCTGTTAAGGTTTCAAACGCAGCGGAAATGGGGATAATAAAAATAAATGTAAATGATGATAATGTACCTGGGATACAAACCTAAAGTTACATGTCTAATTAGATGCATTCTGTCAGTGCATTTAAATAGTTTTGAGCATGATATTGACATTGTATTTCATATATTATGTTGCTCTACGTTGGGTAAACGTCTGACCTGAGTCCATCTTTAAAAATATTGATTTAAAACTCCATATCCCCACTTATTTACCTTCTTTGTCGTCAGAGAAACTGAGAATTGAGTTTTTTGTCTTCTGAACCTCATCTCTGTCTTTATTTCTTTCTCCTCCTTCTTCTGTCACTTCCACCGTATCCCCGTCCTCTCCGCTGCTGCTGCCCGGCTTTGGAGGCGTCGCTTCCCGCTTGGAGCTACACGTAATGCCGCGGCCCTGGGACAGTTTCTCCGGCTTATTTACCGCAACTGGAGCCTCCTCAGTTTCCACTCCATGTCCCCGGGTCTTCCGCTCGTCCTCCTCGTCACTAGAGTTGTCTTTTCTCTGTCGAAAGTTTCTCCGAGGCTTTTTATTAAACATGTTTTATTCACTTACATGGAGGTAGTAACTTGGTTGTAGAACCGTGGTACGTCAAGTCAGAAACCGCTTTCACTGTCGTAAAGCGTTAGGGAAAATAGCCGCAATGCACTGTGGGCTATGTAGTTTCTTTTGTTCGTTTAAACCAGTCTATGGTTTAAACTGGCCATCCTGAATAAAAAACGTAGGCAACGTGAGTTTAATTTGGCGTTATTTTAAACCGCCACTGTAAGTTAAATAATTTCCCATAAGGTGGTTAACTGTAGTTCTGGATACTCTTTATTACCAGTTCTTATTGGGACCATCTGTGCTACTGAGTATAGGAATAATATTCAGGAGACATTAATAATGTATGGCTGTTGCCTCAGAAGATTATCCTGAGTTACATGTCAGCCACAATCAGTTGGTTGAGGAGCAAGACCGTCCTCATTTCATTTACACAGTCTTCAAACTATCTTTTAATCAACATATGATACTGTATATATTATACCACTCTGTGTGTCTCCTGACTGAAGCCTATTTCTGCAGGTAGGCTATAAGAAAAAAATAGGATAACAACTTTCTAAAAATCTAATAACATTAAGTACATCCAAATAATAAGCTTCCTCAAAAATAATGAGTTCGTTTTTCAAAATAACAATATAGTTTCTCTAAATAATGAGAAATTATAATGACAGACATTCTGAAAATAATAGGTAAAAATCTAAATAATTAATATCTCAAAATAATGACAACGTTTTGGAAAATAAAAACTAATATCTCAAAATAATGATAGAATTAAAAAGAAAATAACTGAAAGTCTAAAAAAAAAAAAAAACATTTTTCGAAATATTGACAAAATAATGAGTTAATATCTCTAAATATATACATCATGTCTCAAATAATGAATTTTACTTTGACTGATTGGAGTATTCTCATTATTTTGAGTAGGACCTTTTTTTATAAAATTGGTGGCGAAAATGGGCCTCCACAGTATGAAGGAGTTTGTACTCCACTAATCGAGATTATTGCCAGGTACGTTTACACATACAAGGAATTTGCTTTTCTGTTTGGTGGTGCAAACATGCACGTCACTTTGTTAGAAAAAGTGGTCTGGACAATTTCTCCAGATTTAACATCAGCATAGCAGAAGACAAAATATATCCCTCTCCTGAGAGCTGAACCTTGAGCACCTGCATGATGCATAGACCTCTGGACCACCAATGTGTCAGAAGGTTGCTGGGTTAAGACCATAGACTGTATAGGTTAAGACCCACCATGGCAAAGTGTAAGAGATGTGGAAAGCAAGAAGGAGTGATGTGATAATGTGAAAACTGGGACTAAGAAGGACTCTTGGTAGGTTTGAGATCTTTGATTTGAGGCTCTTCTCCACTATAGCAGTGAGATCACGCACACATTTAACAACATATCAGCAGCACAATATACAAAATAACTTTGTATTTTTGTATATTCACTAGAGTTAAGCAAATGCATTTCAAAAAGAAAATCCTTGATGCAAAAACTTTGATACCTTAAACAGATGTAATGTAGTAAAACCACCGGGGTAAGTGTTAGGAGATGTGTGATGTGATTTTGGTAGAACTTGAATTTATGATAAGGGATGTTATTTAATATTGCGTTGCAGTCTGCTTACTAGTTAAAGAAACAAAACAATTGAAATGGAGCAGAGTACTACAATATTTAGTGGTTTTAAAAGTCACATTATTGGAAAATTAGAAAAAAGAGTATTCGTGATGGTGGATGTAATTATTAAAAATAAAAATGACACAATTTAATATATATATATATATATATATATATATCCGACCAATAGGAACAGGTTAAAATAAATAAATATATATATATATTTTTGTACCTGTTCCTATTGGTCGGATCCAGTCAGCTGACAGATCGTGTGACCCCTGCTGTTTTGACAGGAAGACATTTCAAAACTTTCCCTGTTTACTGTCGTTTAAATCTCTGTTTTTTACATTTTCTATTTAAAGTGTACTAACATGTCCACATTGCACATCTTGACACTAAACCAGTGTTCTTGCTTATTATATTTCTTTGTGCACGCAATTTTTCAGAACATTTATAAGTTAAACTTTTAAAATGTGGTATGGACAACATAAGGAAATAAGTAAAAATTATATAATAATTATAAAAATAAAATGTAAAAATAAAACATGTTTAACAACAAAAAATGAAATAAAAAATAAATAGAAAACTTAGAACAATGAATATATGACAAACTGCAGTATATTATATTTCAGAGTGGAAGGCTGTGCAGATTGTAAGAGAGGTAGATATATATATATTGAAATGTGTACAAAATATGGGAATTTTCTTATTTAAAAAAAAAGACAGTACTTGGGTTGTCCTGTGTTGCATTCTCCCTTATCTGTCTCCCATGAGTTGTCCCCCTCTCCATCTGTTAACTCCCTCTCTCTCCTCCCACTCGCCGGACGCTCACACGTTAACAGCGATCCCTCGACGTCAGCCATGTTGTTGCTGTTGCACACTGAGCTGTCAGCAACAGGTTACTTTGAGGAGCAACGCTGCTAAACTTTAACATTTATACCACACATTCTGCTCTCTTCGGATAATACACCTTTGCAGTGTGTCCGGGAACAAGTCCCCAAGTGGCGGATGATACCTTCAGGGCCCCCGGAAGCTCGGAAGTTGGTGTTTTTCTGGTCGTTGTGAGAGAGGTAAGCCAGCGAAACTGCTTATCTAAGCATGAGTGGAACTTTAATACTGTTCATGTCTCCATAGATTACTTTTAAGTTGCTCACAAGTGTTTGGACTATGTGCATGTTGATGTTCGTTTAGTTTATTCGATTCAGGAATCTAAAAGGAAAACTATATTTAAAGGAGGTGATGCTTGCTGGGATGGGAGTTAGGTTAGCTATAGCTAAGTTATGATTTCATGATTTCATGGTATTATTATCGACAGTGGTGTATAGTAACGAAGTAGATTCACCCAGGTAATGTACTTAAGTACAATTTTGAGGTAGGCTACTTGTACTTTACTTGAGTATTTAGATTTTTGCTACTTTGTACTTCTACCACATTACGATTCAGAAGTAAATCCTGTACTTTTACTTCACTACATTTATTTAATATCTTTAGTTACTTTGCAGATTTGGTTTAATGATGTAAAGTATAATCAACATTTAAAAGACTTTTGAGTAACATTCACAAGATACCCTGCAGTATATAAAGTAATAAAAACTAGCTGCACCTTTTCCAGCTTTGATAAACACATTAATGCATCAATAATTATAATCAAAACATATCATTTATATCATTCTCAAATGGGCCAATCTACATAGTGAGTAATTTTGATTTTGGTTATTTAAGTATATTTTTATGCTAATACTTTTCTCCTTTTACTTGAATAACATTTTGGTTGCAGGACTCTTACTTGTAACTGAGTATTCCTACACTCTGGTACTTCTACTTTTACTTAAGTACACCTCTGATTATCGATACCTAAACACTAAGTTCAGTGTAACGTTTGTAAAGGCAGATTTGCCGGTCAATCCCCTAAATTCCTCTCGGTTCAAACGAGTTGAGCAGGTTGCAGTCTGGTGACAAGTGATCAGGGAATGTTACTCTATCAGTTTATAATTCAGACTCACACAGGGAGGATCAACTCCCTTTGAGAATAAAGACTGTGGAGTAACAGTGCCCAAGCTTTTATATTTCTTTCTTTTGGCCTATTTTTGGGTTGTCACATTGTAGGTGTCCTTATCTGAGAATTGTCTAAAATGATATAATCAGATCCACCATAAATAACCATCATTTCCAACTAGGGTTGCTACTAAAGATTGTTCTTCACCATAGGTTTATGAGTACTTCATTGATGAGTATAAATTACTTTAGAAGACATTTGTCTTTGTTTAAAATCCTTCCTACTTTTCAATCCACAGCAGACTGATGCTTAAAAAGCTATCCAGCAAAAATGATTGCATGATTGCATTGATATTATAATTAGTCGATGTTATTTTGACAATTTCAATGCAACTTTCATTATCTAGCAATCATTACCTCTCACTGATAAACTAACTGAAAAATTGCACGTCTACAATTTAGCTTACTGCCATGGAGGCTTTTCCATATTTTCTGGACCTTTTTTGTTAGAGATCCAGTGTGGATGTTTCAGTTCAGTTGAAGTTCCTAATGGGAAGTACATGTTGAAGAGTCTGCTACAGGATGGAGAGTATCAGCTGTTCCGTGTAGAGAAGATGATGCTAAAAAACTTGAAGTGAACGTTTATGTTTGCATGCACCTTCGGTTGTTAAAGGAGAGTGTTGTTGTCTATTATTGCTTAGACACACACATACAGTTTAATACAGAGATTGAATGCTTGGCAAGCATTCAATCTTGTTATCGCTGTCACCTGTAATGTAAAATACTTTCTGTTCTTGGTAGCTTCCTTTAACTCTTCGTACTTTAATGCTGAACATGGGCTTTAATTGTTGCTGTTCACCTTACTGATATTATTTTATAATTGCTTGGCAGAGAAGTGAAAAGGAACTGATCAACCTGGTTTTGATCTCAATGTTACCAAACTGTCTGTAGGCTGAATATTCTTCAAAGCAAGACAATGAATGCCTTCCAACTGAGCTTTACCTTAGACCTTTCTTCAGAGTGAAAGGTCAGGATGGCCATGTTAATCATTATTACAGTATTAACATTATCAGTATGGCAATCATTGGGTGCATTGCCAATTTATTCCATAAGTGTCACGTGACATGAGAACATCACCACTGTTACAAGTGTGACTATTTGCACTATAATAATGGTGTGGAGATGTAAAGTGTTACTAGTCTTATAACCCCTACTCCTTCTTTATTAACACACATGAGAGGAAACCCATACACTGTTTTAATTCTATATCAGTTTTATAAAATATCAATGTTTCTCCACTCCTGTCATAACCTCCTGACATATGAACAAATCAGGGCGGGCCAAAGCAGACTAAAGGAGGGAGAGGCCTGCCTTGCCTCTTAAGAAAACAAAACACAGCATTGCAAACAGTGTTAAGGAAAACCAATCTGAAACACTCCAAAAGATCTTTGCAGCAGTTGCTGAGAGAGGGAACCAGACAGAAAGACAGGAAACAATAATAATAAGATGAATAGCAATAGCCAAAGAAACATTGGGTCAATTTATTGTACATAGAAACTAACTCACACACACGCACACGCACGCCGCACGCACACACACAGAGAGGGAGATAGAGTCATCGGGATGGAGTTGATGTCATTGGTGTGAGGTCAGTGAGCCAGGCGGCTGAAAATCTATCATTTCGCAGAACAGTAGTGCTTGTTTCAGAACAGAGAAGTGATGAGGACAGGTCAGGGTCACACAACTGGTATGGTATAGATTTAGCGATAGAGAGATTGACATATATTTACAATGACACATGAAAAGACAGAGGGAGAAAGAGGAAAACATGACTATCTAAAAGACAGCCAAGGAATGAGGAAGGGAAGTAATGAAGAGAGGAGAAAAGGTTCATTGTAAATCATCCTTTTTCTCTCAGGTTCTTCATTGTGTTCAGTATTTTCTTCTGTCAATGTTAAATAGTCTACATGGCAGCAAGGTGCACTATAACAAGTGCATACTAAACAGAGCATATGACAAGCACAGCCATACAAAGAGGAAAATACATGCAGGGTTCAAAGCTACTACTGACAGTACCAAGGTCAGGGACAGCCAGGCTATTTATCCAACAGTTTTCAGTGTTGTATATACTAACGGAGAGACGGAAATGTCCCAGTCTTTCTGGAGAAACCAAAGCAGAACTAAAGGTGAGGTCTGACCGCCATAAGCGAGCCATAAATGAAAAGAAACACTGCACTCTGAGGAATTGTGGTGTTTCTTTAAATACCATACTCAAGCCAGACATTAATTCATTATTATATGTTTCACCTTGGACTCTAAGATATACTTCAATGCACTTGTTGTTTTCTTATTCAAATGAAAATGTGTAGGCTGAAAGAAGTTAGTACATTTGCATTGGTTTAACTAACGGCCGTGCATTAGTGTTCAAGGCTTAGAGCAGGAGTAACGTTTAGTGAATCCAGACTTTCTTAACTGCTTCGCCTCATTAATTTATGTTATAATGATCTTTCTGACAGGAAACTTTTTTGTACTGTTGCTTTTTTATAAATGAAACACCCTTTTGTGGTCTTTGAAGAGGAGGCAGCAGAAGGTTTGTAGGATGAGCACAAACGCTACGAGCAACCGGCAGTGCAGGGTGGACGGCTGAGATGAGTTTATGCAAATTGGTCTGAAAATAGTCCAAGGAATACTAAAGTATCCCTAGTTGTTATTACTCCTGTCATGGATGCATGTTGTGTGTACAGGTAATAATGCTGCAGTGATCTGCATTGAATTTAATGCAATCCTCATAGAAAGTTACCAGACACTGGCAACACGTTGTGTATTACATATCACTCTCTTTTTGAGTACTCTAAGCCACCTGTCTGTACTATAGAACATTTAGTTTCGCGACCTTTCAACCTGCAGGAAGGATTTTTTTTCTAAAGAATGAGGTCACGCTATACCGATCATCACCTGACTGTCGCCCTTCCCCCTCTCCATGTCTGTGGACGAGTTATTACGTAAACTACAGGTTGGGATTCAATCTGAGTCATATGTCTATTTACGTATCCAACCATGACAACAGTAATGGGACTACTGTGTGGACACTAATATGTGTTTACACAAGTCCAGCATCAGGCCAGTAGCAAAACATAGTGCCATCTTGATCTTATTCTGACATAGATCTTATAACTGCGATATTGGTGAATTTACCTTTTAGGAAGTTTGGAAGACTTCACCAGCTTTAAGTAGTAATGCTGTGATCCTTGAGGATGTATTGTTTTTTTTTTATTATCAGTGTTTTAACAACACGTTTTAAATCAGATTTGTTGATCCACCAGGACATTCATTAAAACACTAAAATATTGTTTTATCTAACTTGTTATCAGGGTAAATGCTGTATAATAATACATTTGGCATGTCTCTTACCAAAACATTTCCATAAAGGGGCGTTAAGTCAATGTTGCCAAGCTACACTAAAATGTCCAATTATTCCAAAAGCATTTTCACACAATGGTGTAGCTAGAGCTTAAATCAAAGTTTTGCTTCTTGTTGACAATATATAATTATTGATAGGACTTTATGTCTAGAAGGAACAGTTTTTTCTGAGCTCATAAAAACTGCTCAACATACTTGACATGCAGAATCACCCATAGTGTCTCCTTTTCCATGCTGCTGACATCAAAACGGTGCATCTTTTATAGCAGCATTCCCGTAGCTTTTGTTATTCAGAAAGGATTTGCATGAGGTTTGCAAAGCTGAGTCTAGTACTGAAGGCAGTCACTTGTGCCAGCCAAATGTTGGTCAGTCGATCAGGCAGGCCTAAACTAAGGAAAAGCCAGACTCCTCTCTCACTCTGGAAACAGTAAACCTGAAAGCCCACAGTCCACTGCTATCTTTCATTTATTCATTATAACTCCAACAGTGTTGCATTACCAGAGGTTAAACTCCATGACTAGAGCCTGACCTATAATGAATGGCTGATACTGTCGACTTATCACTCTCATCTGTTATTGGCATGTGAGTTTGTTGTGTAATATACACACAGAGTTGTTGAAACATTATCAGAGACTCAAAACAGTGCAACACCTGAGATATCGGGCATTTTTTGTTTCTATGAAGTATGTACAGAATTGAACCGTTCAGGCTTATGCAGAAAATTGTTGTTAGCCATTTTCATTGGCCAGAATAATGTGTTAACTGAGTTCATGACTATTGCACAATTCTAGATACTCTGCTAGATTTATTCATACTTAATTACATGTTCACCTGTATTTTCTTATGCTATGGAAACAATGCAGTTTTGTTGTGTCTGTGTTAGTATTCCTTCAAACATGACTTTCTACTGTGTACATTCTTAAAAAAGAGGTCTCTATACAGATACTCGTACTCCAATATTTCACAAAGACTGCATATGAAGAACAAGGGCATGAGTGAAGGGGAATAAGACAAAAACGTGAGGTTGAAACACAGGAGTCAGAAGGACTTGACACAGGAGAGAGCGACAGATGGCAGGCAGTAGATTAGCCTCCATGCTGTTCTCTGCCCTTGTGAGAGCATACATCATGTTAACAAAAACAGCACACTTCCACTCCCATTCTTCCTTTATCTCATTCATGTTCTCTTTCATGAGCTCATATCAGCAGACAAGTCACCAATCAGTAATGTAGCTTCCTTAAAAATCACTTGTCAGTCTGTAATTCTTGCCCTGCCTCTTTTCTAACCAAAGCTCTGACTCTGGTTCACATTTTCTTGAACATCAAAGCTGTCTTTGGCCAAAATCCATGATCACTTCCTGTCAACTGACGTCTGACAGGGAAATGCTTGTGTCCGTGGGTTACCGGGCAGGAAGTGTTGAGCAGAAGGATTGGAATTTCTTTCCTCCTTTTCCTCTTCCTCCTCCTCCTACTACATCATGTGAGTCTGACTGGCTGATGGGGGAGATAAAGTCATGGAGGAAGCAGGTGTTCAGCACGCCAGTAGAGAATGAAAAGCTACAGAACCTGATGGTGGTCTGATATCGAGTGTCTCTTAAGATACATGAAAACAAAATAGCTTTGAATAAGGTTTTATACAACTTTTCTCCTTCTGAAGGTAATTTTGTGCTAGACAGTGCTCCGAAATGAGAGAAAATAAAACAATAGAACGATAAATGAATACAAATATAACATAACTAATAATAACACCAGTGACGTAACATAGATTAGATTCAACTTTATTGTCATTGTGCATAGTAGAAGAAAATACAAAATAAGATCATATACGAAGGAAAACGTATCCAAAGTAAGACTGCACATTATACAGATATTATTATTGTATAAATGTCTTAAAACGGTATGCTGAGAGTTTACATGGGGCCTTATGTTATCAGCTCCTTTATCAAAGCAAAGGTCCACACATCCATTGGGAAAACAGTTTTAGATCTAAAAGCAGATTTCTGTTGGTATTTCAACAGGTGGAGCAGCGCTGCAGTCACATATGAGACCTTTACTGTACATATGCTGGCAAACCCAGAATAATACAAGAACAGAAACATGAGCTATTAACCATGTTGAGACCTACAGTACCACAGCTCAGGGGGGTTCTATCAAACACAGAAATGGAGATGGCTATTCATGCCTTTATTTCATCCCGGCTGGATTACTGTAATGCTCTGTTCTCCTGCCTCAACAAAACATCTATAAACCGGTTACAACAGGTCCAAAATGCTGCAGCCAGATTGCTCACTCGGTCCAAAAAAACATGCCACATCACTCCGATTCTTTCTGCCCTGCACTGGCTCCCTGTCCATCTCAGAACCCAATTCAAGGTATTGGTTTTCACATATAGAGCTGTCCATGGCCAAGCCCCAGCCTACATTAATGACCTGATCCTCCCTCATAGCACAACCCGGGCCCTGAGGTCCTCTGAGCAAGGCCTCCTAAGGGTGCCCCGAACCAGGCTAAAAACTAAGGGGGACCGTGCCTTTGAGGTGGTGGCCCCAAGGCTTTGGAACAAACTCCCCCAGACACTAAGAGCCTCTGCCTCAGTAGAGATTTTTAAGGGGCAGTTAAAGACCCACCTCTTCCGTCAGGCCTTTGGGGCATCGGAGGAGGTGAGTTAGTAGCTGTCTTTTATTGGTGTTTTATCGTATGTTTTATCCTATGTATTACCTGCTGTTGTTTTATGCCTTTTTATGCCTTTTATTCTACATTTTAGTTGTACTGTGAATTGTGTACTGTACTGTAAAGCACTTTGTACATTCGTGTTGAGAAGGGTGCTATATAAATAAAGTTTTACTTACTTACTTACAGGCTTCCCTCTGATCATCCCAGGCAATGTTTAAAATCACACTTCCAAAACATTTGGTCAAATGATTACTTGACAGACAATACCGTACTCATATCAGACTGTGTCATCTCACATGGCTTCTGAGAAACCTTTATTTTGGTTACCATTTTCAAATAAAAATGGATAAACATGGAATCACCGACACAGTGAGAACTCCACTTTTGCTTTTTTAAATATAGTCAGTTATCACCTAAAACGTACACATTTTAACCTTGCAGAAAAAGTGTGCCCTCCCACTACATTGAACAAACACGTTCATGTGAAGAAGCTGCTTTCCCACACTTTGCATGTGCTTGACTCAACAAGAGTGGGTTTAAAAGCATGATGCAACATACTGTACTTTGAGGAAGGTGTGGTGACAGGAAGGAAGGTTTGAAATGAAACGAAACTGCAGAGTTGCTTTGATGGTGAAGTCATTGGGTTTATCTGTCCATCACTTTGATTCAGACTGAAATATATATAACAACTGCTGGATGTATTGCCAAAGAAATATGGACCGAGCCGTTTTAGGTGAGATCTCTCAACTATTGGATGGATTGGGGTGATATTTGTTACACACGTTCATGCCGTCTTCAGGAAAAGTTACAATAGGTTTGTTAATCCTCTGACTTTTCAACTAATGCCATCATAAGATATGAAAATATTTGTCCCTTTTTTATTATGATTATGCCTTGTTAAACCTTGTTAAACTATTTACCTATTGTCAGTGGTGCTATAAAGTACATACAACAAATGCAGACAAAATCAAATGGCATTAAAATAAGAATACAAGGCTATATCAGTTGAAAAAAAATCAGGTATATGACCAAATACCTTCAAAATATTTCCATAAGCTTACATTGTGTAAAGTGGAAATTAGCAAATATTAGCATGCTAACACACCGAAATAAAATAGTAAACATTGTACCTGCTGAGAATCATAGTGTTGTATTTGCAATTACATAGCTGACCATGAACAAACAACAACAAAAAAATAAGTCTTCAAAATGTTTTTTTTTTTTAGGCAACCCATAGTACATGAATATAACTTTGAATTGTCACTCCACACAACCATGTAGCCTTAAAATCTGGGCAGCAGCATGCATTACTGATGTCTGCTGAACACCAGAAATGCTTTCTAATGTGTGTTTATGAGTCTAGCTTGTGTAGTATTGGTGGTTTTGCCTCCACCATGGCCCATGTGGGTAGTTTTGGAGCAGTAGTGTAAAAGCTTTGGGATGTGGCCAGCTGCTCCTGACTGAGGAAACAGGAGGAGCCCTGTTCGACTCTGCTGACCGACCAGAATCTCTCTCTCTGCCTCTCCTCTCTCGCCCCTCTCAGTGACACCCCTGCCCTGTCCTCGCTGCAGTATTGACTGATGACTGGGCTGTGACTGTGTGTTTTGCAGATGGCTGCGAGCGGTAGCTGAGGACGGCGTCAGGATTTCCCCCCCTCTCTGCCTCTGCCACCTGCAAATATGAATGGTAAGAGTGTGTGTGTGTGTGTGTGTGTGTGTGTGTGTGTGTGTGTGTGTGTGTGTGTGTGTGTGTGTGTGTGTGTGTGTGTGTGTGTGTGTGTGTGTGTGTGTGTGTGTGTGTGTGATGTGTGTGTGTGTGTGTGTGTGTGTGTGTGTGTGTGTGTGTGTGTGTGTGTGTGTGTGTGTGGTGTGTGTGGTGTGTGTGTGTGTGTGTGTGTGTGTGTGTGTGTGTGTGTGTGTGGTGTGTGTGTGTGTGTGTGTGTGTGTGTGTGTGTGTGTGTGTGTGTGTGTGTGTGTGTGTGTGTGTGTGTGTGTGTGTGTGTGTGTGTGTGTGTGTGTGTGTGTGTGTGTGTACTGTCGTTTGTTATGATGAAGTGAACTGTACATTTCCTGTCAGCTGACAAACTGTGGCAACACTGATGTGTCTCGTGAAAGTGTTCTTCTGCCCTCCTGCTTGCACAAAGTGGCACAGTCCGTGTGTTTCATAATCACTCATTATCACTTTGTCAATATCAGTTCACTCCCAACTGCCAGGCCTTGGGCTTCAGCTCCTCTGTTTGTGCACCTGCCTGTTTTTGGTTCTTCTTTGCAAGTTTTATTAAGGCTGACTTGCCAATTTCTATTTTGTTTCTAAGAACTTTAATTAACAGCATACAAAGACAATTGTGTAACAACCGGAAAATATATTACCATTTATTTATTTTTTAAATGAAATAAAACATTGACAAATAACTTGCACTGTCTCCAAAACTGCAGCAAATGACAGGACTGCAGGTTTTACAAATCTGCTTGTGTCTTCGTCACTCCAACTAAAGAACTTCCACACCAACGACATGGTTTGCGTTTGGCTGTGACGTAAACTGTCATGCATTTACATTTGACGAGCAACATTTTTTTTAAAATATGAGAATAATGGATCATTGACAAACACCTAAAAACCAGACAGTTTTGACCAGTGCATCTCTGACGAGGGTTAAATGTCCCATGTTTTCTTCTTCATGCTTTAAATGTGTTGTTTTTCTCTCTAGGTGGTCCAAGTGTATGGGCGATCTCTCCTGAGGAGAGGCTCAAACATGATCAGAAGTTTGACACCCTCTCCCCATCAATGGGCTTTGTCTCAGGTACACACACTAACACACACATTATTTCCCAGACTGGTGCTGCGTCACGCTTACAGAGATTTCCCTGACAGGACATTTCATGATGCTGTTTTACCAAGACTACACCATTATAAAGCACATACATTTTCATATATTACAATAATACACAGTTATGTGTGTTTATATACTGTAGGTTGCTACATACAATGAAATGGTGTTGACTTGCTCAGGTGATCAGGCAAAGACATACATGTGCAGGTACAGAAAAACAATGTATGTTGGAAATTCTAAATGTTCTTTTGATTCTCCCTTTCTTCCCTTTCTGTCTCTTCCTATAGGGGAGCAAGCCCGGAAGTTTTTACTCCAATCAGGGCTGCCTGCTTCAGTTCTGGCTCAAATATGGTTAGAAACACACACATACACACACTCTCACACACTCTCACACACTCAGCCACGGGTTCTCTGGAAGTTTTCACTTGAAGCAGAACATTAACACTGTGATGACTCTTTGTTTTTCCTGTCTCTCAGGGCTCTGGCTGACATGAATAACGATGGGAAGATGGACAGGTTGGAGTTTTCCATCGCCATGAAGCTCATAAAGCTTAGACTCCAGGGCACACAGCTCCCCTCAGCTCTTCCAATCATCATGAAGCAGCCTCCAGTGCCCGCCCCCACCCTCAACCACCGCACCTCAGTCCTGTCCAACTCAGCTTATGGTACAGTGTTTTTATCATATACTGTGACGTTAGTTAGCAAAGGAAATTAACATGCATTTTCTTCAAAATTCACACCCTTAAACTCAGAAAGAAACGGGTAACTTAGGGATGCAACTAACGCATTTTCATTATCGATTAACACCCGATGAAAAACATCATCATTAGATATTTCCTCATTGACATACTTAAACATTTAAACACAACCAGTTTCATTCCTATATTTATTCTGAAGGTTTTTAGAGAGAGGTGTGTATGATCAGATTTCTGTGTTTGAAATGTGTGAAAATTAGCACATTTTAAATTAGATAAACACTAATTTGCATATATAACACCTTTTGCCATTTTTGAACATTTCTTTGAACAATAGATATTAATATCAAAATTGTTGGCAATTATTGTCGATTGAGTTCTTGACTAGTTGACAAACCGTTGCAGCTCTCGATTAGAATAAAAAATGTAAATGCAAAACAAAAGAAACTAATTTGCAGGTTTTGATATTTGTTAACTTTAAGTGTCTGAATGATCTCCGTATGCATTATGTCTGCTCTGGTTCTGACTGGTTTACTTTTGTGTGTTATAGGAATGGCTTCTGGGTCCAACATGATGCCCGGGACAAACCTTGCCATGTTGACCCCTATCTCCATGGCAACTCCTGGACTCTCACACTTGACACCAATGACAGGCCTCGCCCCGTTGGTTCCTACGGCAACAGGCCTGAGCCCTTTAATAGCCCCCTCCTCCTCCAGGCCCCTGATTCCCACCATGGGAAACGGCACCATGGGATTTCTGCAACCAATCCCATCTGGAGCCATGGCTGCTGGTACACATTTAATTCTAGCTTTCATTCATCCTCTCCCCTTTTTTCCGATGCTGTAGTATTGTTTGTCACTGGGTTATCAGTTCAACCCAAAATACATATTTGTCCCTTTTCCCTGTTGTGGTTTTTGTATCAATCTGGATTGTTTTGAAACGGCACTGGACTTGTAGAGCTCAAAGGGCTAATACAAATGCATATGAAAATGCGACAACATCTCTTACCAGAAATGTAAAACCACTTAAGACAATCTGCAGACCTTGTCAGCAGTTTCATCTACAAACAATTTTATTTTTATTGAAATATACCCACCAATGAGTGAGCACGAGACTCTCATCGATAAGTACATGCACCCTTACTTCTGTGCGTTGATAGGGTTGGAATACCTTTAGATTTACAGTCTCTCTAAATTGAACACATTCATTTTGATTATCACTTTCAAGTTGCTGATTTCCTTGCAATGCACTGCAGATGATGATATATTTCTGAGGGGGGAAGTAGGTAAAGGGTTGAGTCCTGGCTTGGTTTTGCCAAGTCAATTCTCTCAGTCTCATCTCCATACAAATAGCCTCTCTGTCCTTGGCAAGCTTTGCTAGACAGTATATAACTGACCCACTGTACGACTCCCCTCCCCTTCCTTCCTTTCTGAAACAGTAAAAATAAATGATTTTATGGTTGTGGTTAATGGCTGTAGTAAAATGTCATAATAATGATTCGGGTACTTATGTAATGGATGTTTGCTTTCTGTTATTAGGCTTACCTCGCTCTGCGTCCCCCTACTCATCTCCGCTTGGACTCTCTTCTGGTTTAAACACGGGCTCACCGCTGCTGGACCTAGCATCTAACAGGTAACAAACACACCACTAAGCAATTTAACTTTTGCTCAATCATCATCTTGTCAGTCTCTTTGAAGTGTAAAATCACACTGGTTCTTCTGTAGTTTGGGTCACTCAGCTTGTGTTTTTGTGTTGCCTCTGTTTGTCTTCCAGCTCTGCCTCCTCGTCCCCCTCTGTGATGTCCCCCATGGGTCCTGTTCCCAGCGACTGGGCTGTGCCTCACGCCTCCAGACTCAAATACAGACAGCAGTTTAACAGCTTGGATAAGCAGATGATAGGATATCTCATTGGTAAGAACCCTGTCTGTATATTATGTATGTGAACAGTGTGTGGGTCATACATAACCACAGTATGCTGGAATGCAGGCGTTGATGTTCCTGACAACAGTCACTCATGATCTATAACTGTGGCCTCCCTCTTTCTTTCTGAGTGAGTCAAGCCTTAGCTAACTCTCAGGAAGTGGAGGCTGGGTCTGTCAGCTGTGGGTGTGTTCAGACACAGGGGCAGTTTCTTAACACACACACACACACACAGCCAAGTATGCATTTGCCTTCTCGTTCTGTTACAGCAAGCCTTGCAGGACCAGTTCTTTTGAAATATCCTCGATACAGTCAAACAACAATTGTGCACATACTCTCACTTACTTCAGCCGTACTAGCAGATGATTTCCTCACAGTGTGACTTTGCATATTATGTGCAATGTAACGCATTACAAAAAATACATGAATGTCTTTAAACTGCTTTTAGAGCTCACTTTAACAGAAACAGTTTGTCTGTTACGGTATAATCTATACAGTTACAAGGCAGCCAAAATCCTAAAAATACATACATATATATATACATATTTTCCTGTTGTGCAATGTAATGTAGATTGGTTTGGTGTGAGTTGCGAGTGTTGAAGATAGCTCTTTGATTTTACTTGAATATAATAGAACTAGATGCACTCTGCTTTCTCTGCTCCACATTTGGTGAGAGCAAAAATATGTTGTTTAAAATGTCGGGGTGACCTGGCCCTCTGGAATCACCATAACCTGTACTTAAAAAAAAAATCACAGTCCGTTGATTATCATCTCTAAATGTAGGAGATTGAATAAGGGTTAAAAAGGTTCTAGTTTTTCCTATTTCAACGTCCACCTTTTTCACATTTATGTTTAATAATCAAAAGGAACCTGGAGTCAGTCTTGAATCCGACTGTGATCTAGCCACATTTAAAGGTGGGGTAGGTAATTTTGGAGAAACCAGCTTGAGTGCGCTAGAATTTGAAAATACACAACCGGAGAAAATCTGCCACTTCCTTACAGAGCCCCTCCTCCAACACATACGAACGCGCACATGACCAATGAGGGCACGAGATAAGTTTGTGCACAGATGGAAGGCTGACAGGCAGGTAGGCCATCCAGTTATTTTAGTCGGGCCGGCTAAAATGATTGGTCGTACTTTTTACAGTACTACGGCTTCCACAGATGAAATTTTTTATGGATTTTTTGTCAAAGCACCTAAGATATGCATTGCTATCGGGATGTTAAGAGCATTCCATGGAATATAACAAAAAGTGTATCTCGAGCCGGTTTCTCAAACTTACCTACCACACCTTTAAGTTGAATGATTCAATGAATGGGCACACACTGTACAGGACACTCTCCTTACTTTTCCTTTCCCCACCACACCCACACAGCTCTGCTTTATATACATTATACTGTTTGTACATGTTCTGACATTTGTCAATCTTGTTGCCAGGTCAACAGGTGAGGGGTGCCATGGCGACCACGATGCTGACTCAGATACAGCTGGCTTCCATCTGGTGAGAAAAAGTGTGTGTGTGTGCGCTTGTAGCTGGTTTGACAATAGGCCATTTCTGTTAACGACATATATGTTAACAAGTAAAGATTGCCTTCGTATCAATTACCAGTAAGAATCAGGAAAAACATATTTTCTTGTAGAATTGTATTGTTTTAATTGTAAACTTAATATTGTACCCCAAATCTGTTCTGTATGCAAATAATCATGAGATGTCAATATAGAGTGATATCCATAAGTAGATGAGACGTTAAGTTGCCAACCTTAAAGGTCAAATAAATATGTATCTTAAACAGCTAGACCTATGTTATGTTGTTGGTATATGTACGTACATTATCACAAATGTTTCAAGATATTTTGAAACCTAGAGAAATCCTTATTTTTAAGTTATGACTTGTTTAAGTAAGTTTATCGTTTATTTGGCAGGGACAATGCACATTAATGAACACTTAAAACAAAAAAAATATGCCGGATTTTAGCTTGGAGCTAATTTCCATCCGCAGTCGAGATGGAGTTAACAAGTCATCAGCATTGTTCTCTATCAGAGGCAGGCTGTCGTAAATAAACCTTTTATCCAGTTTGAAGCCCCAATTTTACGACACACTTGAAAGATATTGATTCACGTATAAACCTTAAACCTCCTATCTGCAAAACCTCCTGCAGGACTTTAGCGGATGTGGATAAGGACGGGAAGCTGAAAGCGGAGGAGTTCATTCTGGCAATGCATCTCGTGGACATGGCAAAGTATGGACAACCACTGCCGCTAACACTGCCCACTGAACTGGTCCCACCCTCACAAAGGTATTATTGTATGGCACCATTTTGAAAACACATTACAAATACCCTGTGTAGTAGATTTTCAGCACTGAAGTGAATTAAACATGGACTACATTGATGTGTGTATTTATTAAACATTTGATTATGTGGTTGTGTTCCAGGGGAGCAGTGAATGGATCCAGCTCTTCTCCCTATGCATCGCTGACTGATGACTTTGACATAGAGCCTCCACAAAAAAATAAACCTAACAGTAAGCACACACACACCACCAACACCAACCAAACACACTGATATTTGGTGTGTGTAAATGTGTGTTAGTACCTGTCTGTCTTATCTTGCATATTACTAAATCTAATATTTTTCTTGCACGTGTATTACGGTTTGCTCAAGGACCTCTCTTGGTTGCAATGATTAACAACATTGATGTTCACTGTTGGATTCCCCCATCTACCACTGATTCCTCCATCGGTCAGAAGAGACTGCAAATGCTCAAAAACTGCTCCAGAAGCAAAAGGCATTCACGAGCAACTGGCAGGCTGCCTTTTGGCTTTTATCTTAGCTAAATAAACTGACAACTATAGAAAAGTTTGTTCTCATTTTGAACTTGAGTATCTTACGATAATAATTACGATAATTATAAATAAAAATAATAAATAGATGTTTCATAAATCCCTGCTTTTGTTATCTTTAACCCTTTCTTTAAGGGAGCCTGGAGGGAGAAGTTGGTGAGATTAAACTCTTTGTTTGAGAGGGGTGAAGGACACACACCTGCTTTATGCTATTCTAAAATCCCTGACTCATTCGTCAATAACAATGTCATAATCTTGTTTTGTTTTTCTTTCGACTGCTTACTCCCAATCATCATGAAAAGTACCCCAACACTCACGTTTTATTTGTCTTTATTCAGTGTCGTTCGAGGATAAATTCAAAGCCAACCTGGAGCGAGGGAACGCAGAACTGGAGAAAAGACGTCAGACACTGCTGGAGGCGGAGAGGAGGGAGAGGGAGCGTCGTGCCCAGAAGGAGAGAGAGGAGCGAGAGATGAGAGAGAGGGAGGCTCAGGAGGCCGAGGAGAGGAGGAGGAAAGAGGAGGAGAGGAGGCTGGAGAGGCAGAGGGAGCTGGAGAGGCAGAAAGAGGAAGAGCGACAGAGAGAGATCGAAAGAAAGGAGGTGACAGTTGTATTCACAATAATGAATCTTTGCATTAATGCTTCCTCTTTTCTAGCAGCACAGAGTTGTCTATTTACACTTCAGTGTCCTGTGTGGGTTCAATCCAGGCTGCACAGCGGGAGCTCGAGCGCCAGAGGAAGGAGGAGTGGGAGAGGAGGCAGAGAGGAGAGCTCAAGATAAAGAAGGAGCAGGAGAGGGATGATATCATCAGACTGAAAGCTAAGAAAAAGAGTCTTGAGATGGAGCTGGAGGCTGTGGTGAGACAGGCTGTAGTCATACAGTTGTTAGCTTATTTTACCATACAAGAACACACTATAGATAGTTTGTAATGTTGCTGTCATCCTCTCTGTCACTACCACAGGGCAACAAACATCGTCAGATCTCAGACCGGCTGCGTGACTTTCACAACAAAAATAAGCTTCAGAAGACGGAGCTGGATCTGTCCAATCAGAGGAAAGAGACACGCCAGCAGGACATTAGCATGCTGCAGAAACAGTTGGAGGTGTGTGTGTGTGTGTGTGTGTGTGTGTGTGTGTGTGTGTGTGTGTGTGTGTGTGGTGTGTGTGTGTGTGTGTGTGTGTGTGTGTGTGTGTGTGTGTGTGTGTGTGTGTGTGGTGTGTGTGTGTGTGTGTGTGTGTGTGTGTGTGTGTGTGTGTGTGTTGTGTGTGTGTGTGTGTGTGTGTGTGTGTGTGTGTGTGTGTGTGTGTGTGGTGTGTGTGTGTGTGTGTGTGTGTGTGTGTGTGTGGTGATGTGTGTGTGTGTGTGTGTGTGTGTGTGTGTGTGTGTGTGTGTGTGTGTGTGTGTGTGTGTGTGTGTGTGTGGTGTGTGTGTGTGTGTGTGTGTGTGTGGTGTGTGTGTGTGTGGTGTGTGTGTGTGTGTGTGTGTGTGTGTGTGTGTGTGTGTGTGTGTGTGTGTGTGTGTGTGTGTGTGTGTGTGTGTGTGTGTGGTGTGTGTGTGTGTGTGTGTGTGTGTGTGTGTGTGTGTGTGTGTGTGTGTGTGTGTGTGCTCTGTGGCAGACAGAATTGCATAGTGAAAGCGTGGCTTATAGGAGAGAAAACAAGAAAGTTGTCTTCTTCACTCAGTTCTCTGTAATTTGCTTTGTTCATTGCTTCAAAAAGTGAGAATACATCAATGCTTTCCCAAATATTTTCCTCCCATGACGCATTTCTTGTTGCGATGATGCATTTCCTCTTGTTCAGGAGTTCCAGAGGAAGTTGTCCCAGCTGACTCCAGAGCAGAGGAGACTGACTGAGAAACTCAGAAACATGTCCTTGAACAACCTGCCTGGTTAGTATTGATGGATGAAATGACATGACAGCAGAACTATGGACACATGTTTGATAAAAGAACACAACACACTGAAAGGCACAATGGCCAGCTATATCACAATAAAATCAGGATATATTGCAAATATAAATACATAATATGCACATATATAAGTAAATGTATCAAACCACTTTAAAAATGAAAGTACATATTCAGTCAAAAGCATGGAAGTATTACTAATATATGGAAATGTTGTGAAGAATATAAGAACTATATAATTAAATGTAAATATAGATACAGACATACAGTACATAGGACAGCAGATAGCTTGCACATCTTCCGGCGCAGACTGAATACTCATCTCTTTCGACTCCACTTCGAGCGATAGAATTACTACCAAAGAATTACTAACAAAGCACTCATATACTAATAAAGGACTGGCTTATCTAAAGCCAGTTGAGTAGCACTTGAAATGTTTTGGCTCTATGAAACCTGATGTACTTATATGATTCTGTTTTCTTCAAGTTTGTATCTTGTTGGTCGAATGCACTTATTGTAAGTCGCTTTGGATAAAAGCGTCAGCTAAATGCAATGTAATGTAATGTACATACACAACATTTAGTTAACCCTCCTGATGGTATCATAGCAGTTTTTTTTTTTTTTTACTGGAAATCTCTAGCTTGCTTAAGTGTATTTCATCTGTTTGTAGCGTCGACCGTATCAGTGCTGACTGGGGGTGTTACGGAGAAAAAAGGGATGTGTTTGAAAATGCGAGAGCAGCTTGGAGTTCTGGAGAAAGAGACGGCTGCCAAACTGTCTGAGATGGACCAGTACAACAAAGATATGCAGGTACAGAATGGACTGATTAATACAAATGTATCTGAATGTCCTCATTAATTGCTGAAGTAATGTTCAATCATTGTAATAGTCTTCTTTGCTGGTAGAGGTACAGGTTGTTTTTTTGTTCACTCTGGACATGTGCAGGCTCTTTATTATATCGAAGCGACAGGAAACAGTGGGTGTTTCTCAACCGCGAGTACGCTTGCTTGGTAGCACATGTCTGCCGAGCATCTTGCTTCAGAAGCGAGGCAAGAATACTTCCTGGCATTCGGAAAACAAAGAGTGGAACACGCTAGCAAGTGTGCAGGTGTGCGTCATATGAGAGGCCCCGCCTTACATCTTCCGCCACAGATTTGGGGAAATTGGTCCGTGCGCAAAGCATTGTGGGGATTTTAAGACCGCAGAGTCTACTCATGTGCAGCCTCGATATTTCTCCAAACGGAGTACGCCGGGCTCTGTAGTTTTCGAAGTATGCTGGAGATTGGAACAGTACTTCGGCGGCACTCGATGACGTAGTATGCTTGAAATAGTGGCTCTGCAGCAGCTTTACTCGCGATTGAGAAACACCCTGTGTTTTCTAACTAAGTGAAGCTTTAACTCAGAACTGGCTGTTTTCCTGATAAACTAAAATCACCACATCTTTACAGTATATCTTGTTTGCCTCATTTTATACCACTTTTATATGTAAGATATAAGTGTTTTGATGCTTTAAAAAGTGAATACATTTTAAACATTTGTTGTGTGCCATGCCACCAATATTACTCACTACTCGCCCATTAATGCCTCTTTTCTCTCCTCCATGTAAGCCACCATTACTTTTGTTCTGACCTTCTGATACTAATTGAATCACTCTGTTATCTGTTGTCTTACCTTATTCTTATTCCTCCCACTTATTCTCTGTGTATTCCCTTTTGTTCCCTTGCTGGATGCCTCTCTCCAATGCTCCTTCCTCTCTCTTCCCCCTCGCTCGTCTCTCATCCTTTATTCCTAACCTGACAGTATGTGGGTGATGAGGACTCTATGCTTCAGGCTGTCTTCTGTCTGCTGGCCTGCCTCCGTAACCTCTTCTACCTACTAAAGGTTTCTCTTTATGTCTCTTTGCTGTTCTCATATTTTCATCTCTATTTCCTACGCCTGCTAATATGTATTGCTTACTAATCTCCATAACTCTGACATCTTGTGTCTGTGCTGTTTTAGCTCTTTCGATATCTATTTTTTCATTCGACTCTCTTTCTACTACAATACAGGGTTCTTACGGTCATTAAAAACCTGGAGAAGTCATGGAAATTCAAAATGATAATTCCAGGCCCTGGAAAAGTTATGGAAAACAATATTTTTCCCAAAGTTTTGGAAACGTCATGGAAATGTAACTAAAGTTGCATCAAATATAATTTATATTTTATCTAATCGCCGAAATAGTAATACTATAATGATAATAAATACTGTATCGTAGGGCTGTGCGATTATGGCAAAAATCCTAATCACGATTATTTTGGTCAATAATTGATATCACGATTATTAAAAACGATTATCCATTTACTTTGAAAACATCCATTTATTGAAACAAAAATGTGAACAGTATGTTTTTAACAGTTGATTACCCTGAACTTTAAGTATAATTCAACTGAAAAACCCAAAAAAAAAAAAAAAAAATAATAATAATTATATATATTTTTTTTTAATAAAAATAATAATCGTTTTATTTCGATTACGTTGTTTTCGTAATCGTTGCAAGCCAAAATCGTAATCGAGATTAAAATACGATTAATTGCACAGCCCTACTGTATCGTATAGTAATGAAGCGTAAAATGGCATTTAACTGACGAGGTATTTTGCTGGTGAGAGATTGTAGTTGCTTTAGCCTGTAGAAGCTAGTAAGCCTACTATTTGATTTGTTTTAGACAGGCACAACATGTTTCATATGCAAACCCTATTTTCCTGTTCCATGTTCAAATAAACCATTTTCAGTGGTACCGCTGAGAGAGTAATTTTTTTGGTCATGGAAAATTAGGTAAAGGTCATGGAGAAGTCATTGGTGAAAAAGTGTATGAACCCTGAATATATCTTAATGTTTAGGCCCTTCCCGTTTATATGTGATTGGTATGTGTTTGTGCATGCTGTGCTTCTCCAGTCCTCAGCCCCGTACAGTATGTCCATCTAGTCAGCGTATTATTTCATTCAGTCAAAACATCTCTTGATAGTAAAGGTGTTTTGTGTGGCAGGAACTGAGAGAAAGCCAGAGAAAACAGCAGGCAGCACTTGAGAAGCTACGGAGCATCAAAGAGGACAAACGGCGTGAACTGAGTCGAAGGAAGGAGGAGGAGGAGGCGAGGAAGAGGAGAGAAGAAGAGAATAAACAACAGGAGGAGGAAAGAAGGCGGAGGGAGGAGGAGGAAGCTCAGAGGTACTTTGCTTTTACATAGATTTACTATTGTTTATTTTACATTGCAATGTGTCATGCTCAAACAGAATTATGATGTATCAATGTACTGCAGAGAGTAAAAGAGGTGCTGCAGCAAAGTGTGAGACCTTTTTGAACATTAAAACATACAAATATGGAACAGCCTGAACAGCATTGTTAAAACCTGCTCCAAGATCATCGGCGTGAAACAGAGAGACTTAAACTCCTTCTGTAACCAACAGATTCTGCGGAAAGCAGAGAGCATTCTGGCCTCTCCAGGTCATGTTCTTTCACATGAACTTCGTTTGTTGCCATCAGGGCGAAGATATGCTCTACCTGCTCTAAAGACTAATCGCTTTTCAAAATCATTCATCCCTTCTGCACTCAAACTTTTAAATTCTTGACAGGCTTTTAACTTGATTATTTATTTATTTATTTATTATTGTGATGCTATGAACTATTTATAGTGTAAATTGGAATGATCCACATCTGTGCTCCCGGGTGTATGTGTGTGTTTTCTTCCTGTATATTCCTGCCTGTGTACATGACATAAGCTGCTGCTCATAACCAATTGCCCCTTGCGGGATTAATAAAGTTGTTGATTGATTGAAATATGAACCTGAAAATGACCATAATAAGCTATTTTGAAATGTTAAAGGTGGGGTAGGGGTTTGAGAAACCGGCTCGAGATACACTTTTTGTTATATTCCATGGAATGCTCTTAACATCCCGATAGCAATGAATATCTGAAGTGCTTTGACAAAAAATCCATAAAAAAATGTCATCTGTGGAAGCCGTAATACTGTAAAAAGCACGACCAATCATTTTAGCCGGCCCGGCTAAAATAACTGGATGGCCTACCTGCCTGTCAGCCTTCCATCTGTGCACAAACTTATCTCGTGCCCTCATTGGTCATGTGCGCGTTTGTGTGTGTTGGAGGAGGGGCTCTGTAAGGAAGTGGCAGATTTTCTCCGGTTGTGTATTTTCAAATTCTAGCGATCTCGAGCCGGTTTCTCAAACTTACCTACCCTACCTTTAATTCAAACGAAAAGGGGAAATACATTTATTTTCACCTTAAAACACACTTTTAAATGAATGTGTGCTTACAGGCGAATTAAGGTGGAAAAAGAGCGCCAATGGCAGGAGAAGCTTCAGAAGGACGAAGAGGGGCGTCAGAGAAGGATTCAGGAGGAGAAGGAGGCCAAACAGAGGGAGGAGGAGGCGAGAGAGAGACAGGCCATCGTCCAGTCCGCCAAGGAGCAGGCCGAGCGAGAGCTCAGAGCGAAGGAAGAGGCCGAGAGAAAGAGACGAGAGGTGGAGGAGAGGAAGAAGAGAGAGGAAGAGGAGCGGGTTAAGCAATCGGAGAGAAGGAGGCAGGACGAGGAGAGGAGGAAGCTAGAGGACGAGAGGAGGCTGTTGGAGGAAGAGAGGAGGAAACTGGAGGAGGAGAGGAGGCAAGAGGAGAAAAGACGTAAAGAAGAGGACGAGCGACGCCAGAGGGAGGAAGAGAGGAAGCGGTTAGAGGAGGAGAGGAGAGAGGAGGAGAGGAGACGAGAGAAGGATGAAGAGGAGAGGAGGAGACAGAGAGCTGCTGTGGCCGCCGTCCGAGATGCTGAGGAGTCCAGGAAGAGAGAGGACGAGGAGAGGAGGAAGAGAGAGGACGACAGGAGGAGGCTTCAGCAGCAAGAGGAGGAAAGGAAGAGGATAGAAGAGGAGAGGAGGAGAAAAGAGGAGGAAGAGGAGAAGAGGAAAGCTGAGGAGACGAGGAAGAGGAAGGAGGAGGTGTCTCGTCAGCAGCAGCAAGCGAGCGGAGGAGGAGGAGGAAAGGTCGACATTCAGGAGAAACTGACGGCTCTGCTGAGAGGACTGGAGGAGAGGAAGGGTAGGACACACACACACACACACACACACACACACACACACACCTTGATAACTTAGTATTTAATTTTACATTCAGTTTTTAGCTCATCTTATTCTTTTTTAGATGTACATAGTTCACCTCTTACACATTTACCTGCACATTTGCAACACTTAAAGGAGAGGTGTCATGCTTTTCCGGTTATTACCCGTCCCCTTGTGTGTTATGAAGGTTTTTATGCATGTAAACGGTGTGCAGAGTCAAAACCCTCAAAGTACACCCTGTAGCGAGTAAAACTCTAACACAGAAAATACCTCCCCAAAACGCCTCGTTGGAGATACGTCATTGTCCATTTGATTCTTCCGGGTACGGCATGATGTAATCCCGTACCCGGAACGAAATGGACCAATCCGTGGAGCCGTTACGTTAAGTCCCCGGAGCCGTTACGTTAAGCCCCCGCTGATTGGTCCAAATTGACCAATCCACAGACTTCCTCACACACAGGCAGCTCTGCTGATTTTCCCTGGCTGCAGGCTGATAACAGACAGTTGGGATTGCGGCGAAATTCTCTCTGCAGACCCATTCTCACAGCGTTTATCAACCTTTTTCTTACTCAATATCAAGCCACACTTATTGTTTTTAATTCGGATGTGAGTTTGTGTGTGCTCAGGATGAGTTTGGCTGTGTTTCGCTATGTATCCTAAACAAGGAAACAACACCTCCACGGAGCTCAGCAACATTCACAACGTCCCGACCAATCAGAGCACACTGTGCTCACAGGGAGGGTGGGGGCTGGAGCTATTGGAGCTACAACGAGCCGTTAAAGGCAGAGAGTGAAAGTCAGTGAATACACGTAGTTTACAGAGATGCTGTATGAGAAACCAATGTGAGTTTGGAAAAATGCACAGTATAAATCTATTTTAGTAGACCTCAACAATGGAATTATGATCAGTGGAAATGGCCATGACACCTCTCCTTTAATCTTTATTAAAACCACTTTTGAAGTGAAACTCATTCTGCTGCTTTTAGGAGGACAACCCAGAGCCACACATCACAGGAAGTCAGCGGCTCTCACATCCTTCAAAGCTCTGTACCCGTTCACTGCCCGAAACAACGAAGAGCTTAACTTCAATTCGGAAGATATCATCGAGGTAAGATTGAAAATGAAGGCGAATGAGGGCTGGACATAAGATACTACTGCAGCAGTAGAGAAAGGACTTTTTTTTTTCCCAGTTCAAATGTTTCTTTGTTCTTGTCTTCCTTGCTCTTTAACCTTTGATCCTCTTTATCTCCTGTCAGGTGGATGAGACAACGGAGCGGGAGGAGGGCTGGCTGTTCGGCAGCAGACAGGGGAAGATGGGCTGGTTCCCAGAGAGCTACGTGGAGAGGGCGTCCCCATCGGACGCAGCTAACAACGTGACGGCTGCTGCTGCTGCCCCTGCTCCTAAATTGGCGCTCCAGTCTCAACTTTCCAATGCGCTAGAGGCTGTCAAGGCAGCGGGAACAAAGTCTGCCTTCACACCAACACACTCACCGAACCCTGCGCCCTCTGACACACAAGGACAGGTGAGAGGTGTAAAAGTTACTTTACTGCTGCTACCCTTTGATTATCACAGTATGATTCTTGTCTGGACAGATGGAAACGCTCAAATACTCGGGGGCGAATTCATAAAGAATTGATTGAAGCCACTTTGGATCTGCCCTCTGCCCTGTCTCATGGTCTTATTCAATGAAAGTAAATGCACTAATTATATTACAATGTAAACACGCCCATTTTTCAGTTTGAAATGCAATTATCCATGAGACAAAGTACACATTTGATTAAGGCCGATGCAACTGTTTGGAGGCGTGAAAGTCAGGCTGAAGAAGACCAAATAAAGAGAGTAAAGGAAAATGTAACGGATTTTTATTAGATTTTTAATTTAAATAGTAACCTTATTTTTTTTTTTTTCATGACACAAATGTTCTTGCATCCCAAACTAATTTAGTTTGATTGTATAACACTTTACCGGTTACCACCAACCCAATGAAGTTCTTTGTAGCTGTATGTGGCTCTGGGCTGTGACCTTTGTGAATTGGACTGTTCTTGAATAGAGGGTAATTTTTTTTAGAAAGGGGCTGGTTTTGCATCAAATGTATGCATATTACCTCATTTGAATACGTTCAAGTAGATATGAACACCAAGCTATTGTTTGCTTGTCATGGTGCATTTAATGCTTTGAGGGAATTACAGGTTTTGTCTTGTTTGCACATGTTGACCGGATGCATAAGCTGTGCGATTCCTCCTTGAATCCCCCCTCACTGCACTCTGTATCTCTCTGTGTCTTTCAGCTGGTGGTGGGGAACCTGCTGGCCCAGGCTCTGTGTTCGTGGACAGCAAAGACAGAAAGCCATCTGAACTTCAACAAGGACGATGTAATCCAGGTGTTGGAGCAGCAGGAGAACTGGTGGCTGGGAGAGCTGAACAGTGAGCGGGGCTGGTTCCCTAAATCATACGTGACCCTGCTGGGAGAAGAAGAGAGCTCAGAGTGAGTCTTCATGCACACAAACACTTTTTGTTCACCATAATTAAACTAGGCGGCGGAGAGTGGATTTCCCTCTTTGTAAAAGTGAAAGCAAACTAATGGGTAAGCTTGCCAAGTACCAGAACTGAGCTGATGAATGACTCAATATGCATAGAAAATAGCGTAACAGAGCCAAATCTGTATATGCACATGATGCACGTATTCTTAGATTCAGTTTGACTTGTGCCAATATCATTATTTATCTATTCTTCCATGAATCTGCCATGAAAGTGTAAGAAAGTAATTTTACAACCAAAATTGTTCTAATATTAAAGTGTTCTTCAGCATCAAAGTAATCACAGTTATCTGTACATCCATAGATACTCTGCAAACGGGGACGGCCCATAGCTTAATAAAGGATGTGTATTTGTAAAAGTAAACAAATAAAGGTTACAATCGCAGTGCTCAGGTTATAGCCCACCATAGTCATATTTCATTCGTAAACATTAAAGGTTCAAGGTGAATTTATTAATGTATTTATTGTCAATGAACCACCCTGTGTTATAGTAGCAGTTGTAGTCCCTTTACGCTACATAAGAAAAACAAAATACTCAAACATTCACATAAATCTCTAGCCTGAAGCACAAAACCTTCTAGCATCCAGGTCAAAAAATATACATATAAGGTGTTTGTGATTCATGTTTCCCTTTTTCCCGTTGGGGGTTCAAGGACAGAGAATGGCATACACTAGAAAGATTGTAACACCCCCCGGTACATTTGTGATATTGGGCTATTTAAGTGGCCTTTGTGACGCGGTTTATCTTGAATCAGTCAAAACCTGCATCAGTCACATGATAATATCTATGTGTCAGTGAGGGCCTGAGTCTAATGCCCTTGCCACACGAGGACGAAAACGATAACGGACCGCAATAGTTATCAAAAAAGTATTCCGTCCACAGGCAACAGGCACCAGAAACGTGTCTGTTCACACGAGACCGCTCGAAAGCGCTGGAGACGCGGAAAAAAACGGAGCCTCTCTTTTCCTCCCCCTCTTCTGACAGCCCAGCAGCTGATCTCTGAGCAGGAGAGGTGGGGAGAGGCGGGGCTATTGCGTCATCGTTATCAGGACATGATCGTATAGGCGTACACACGGAGCCGTTTTCCCCCCCAGAGCGTTTGTTTGCAGATCTACCCACCTAGGGACCTGTTATCGTTATCGTTATCGTTTTCTGGGTTTCGTGTCGGCCTCGTGTGGCCGAACCGTCTATCTGATAGAGAACTGTACCAGATACGATCGTTTTCGTCCTCGTGTGGCAAGGGTATAAGGGTGTGGTACTGTAACTATTCCAGTAGGCATGTCAGGTATTCACAGCAGAAAATAACTTCCTCCCTCACACAGCCGCATAGAGTTATAAATAGTGTGATTTCAGCTGGATTTGTACCTGACAGTTGTGAGGCAGCCAAGTCTGAAGGTGAAGCTCTTGATTTACTCGTCAATCCAGTCAAGTGTATATGTATAGTGTAATGTACCAACATTCACCTCTGATCCTGGGTTTTGGCTGATAACCAAAATAATATGAGTGCGGCTCAGAGTAGAAGAGTTTCAGGCGTAATCAGCCAGGAAGGTTGCGTGTGGGGTATTAAAAGGTAATGTAGAAGCGCACATTTGTTAACCTCTGGGTCATTCTAATGCCCCGATTGCCTCAAATACACTTATCTTAGTTCATGCAGATTTTAATGCATACCAGATTGTGAACATGCATTGAAATACTGTAAATGAGAATTTGGCTTGCATTTTAGCTCTCACGCAGTCTATATAGAGCCAATAATATTAAAAGAAGCCTTTTGATGGCTCATCAACATCATTACACATTAATTATATTTTATTTTTAGGCACATCTTATTTACTCCATACCTACGGGCATCAAGCGATTATGATTCACATCATTCAGTGTGTTACACAAAGCAGGAGAACATTACATTCTTAACATTGTCTGTTGTAGTGTGTGTTTGCAATGCTGCAATGAGATGTTTCTGCCGTAATAAGCTTTGTCAATAAAGATAATTCATTCATATATTCATCCAATATGCCTACAGTATGAACGTATGACGTCTGATGCATGTAGAAAAACGCTTTCAGTGTATATTTTAATGCTTAAGTTGCTGCACAATCTTCAGCTGGACTTAAATAAGGAGTTACCGCCTGTATTGCCACGGGCGCTTATGGTCATCTCTGCTTTTTACTAGCTTGTCTCCTGGCAGTTTAACTCATAAAGCCCAGGGCAGACCATGCAGCAGCCGTTCGTCCCCATCTGGCTTAAGAAAGCTTTGCATCCCTCAGGAGGAGCCAGAGGTCGCAGCTTCTGTGATCCTGAAAAGTGTTGTAGGATGGTTGGATGGATACATAAATGAATACATTTGGTGATGTAGTCTCTCTGTGTTTACAGCATGAAGGGCTCCCCTCCAGATGCTTCTGAGTCAAGCGACAGCCTGCAGCTTGATGGTACAGTAAAATATCCTCTGAAATATCTGCCTTACTAACTATATTTTATACTTAATCATCATACAGTGAATTCACCCTGAATACATGAAGCTGTTTCCTATTTAAACATCTTGTAATTGTTTTTTTAGATGGTGTAAGAGTCAGTGAAGGCATTTCCTATTAGTTTCTGTTTTAAATTATATTTAATGTCTGAATTTTACAATAAAATCCTCAAAATCTAGACCAAGTCTTTAGGAGAAGTCTTAAAATGGCAGGTGCAATCTGCCTTTATGGTAGATACTGCAATGAATGTATGTAAAACAATATCTGGGTTAATGTGTCAGAAATCTGTCTGGTGGGTCAGTTTAATTTAGCAACAAGCCTTGTTTAAGCTGGAGTCTTGAGTACATTTCCCTTAGTTTATGATCTTATATTATTTATTTTCCTTTCCAGAGTACACGGCGTTGTACACTTATGAGTCTCCGGAGCCGGGGGATCTGACCTTCAGAGAGGGAGATTTGATCCTGGTGAGCAAGAGAGACGGAGAGTGGTGGCACGGCTCGATAGGAGGCAGCTCCGGCGTCTTCCCCAGCAACTACGTCAAACCCAAAGAGGCCGATGTAAGAACACTCAACACAAGCCGATATAAAAGAGAAAACACTGTAGCCGGTCTTTTACTGTATATTAGGTTACTTTATATTGTCTCCAATGGTAAAACCTATCCTGGAGAAAGGGGACTAGCTGCATCAAGACCAGACATCACAACAAATTAGAACACATATGCAAACATAAGCCAGAGATAAAAACAATCAACCAATTAATCACATGCGCTTAAAGGTGGGGTAGGTAAGTTTGAGAAACCAGCTCGAGTGCGCTAGAATTTGAAAATACACAGCCGGAAAAAATCTGCCACTTCCTTACAGAGCCCCTCCTCCAACACACACGAACGCGCACATGACCAATGAGGGCACGAGATAAGTTTGTGCACAGATGGAAGGCTGACAGGCAGGTAGGCCATCCAGTTATTTTAGCCGGGCCGGCTAAAATGATTGGTCGTGCTTTTTACAGTATTACAGTATTGTCAAAGCACTTAAGATATTCATTGCTATCGGGATGTTAAGAGCATTCCATGGAATATAACAAAAAGTGTATCTCGAGGCGGTTTCTCAAACTTACCTACCCCACCTTTAACAATACTTCTAGCAACACAAATGCAAGGCATACATCTCAAAAACATACACACTTTAGTACAAAACTCCTTTTGGGGGACCCTGTTCTTGACCCCTTCTAGACTTCAAAGCACAAACTCAAAACATGAACATAAACATTCATATCAGTTTTGGTATTTGTGGTGGTAGTTAATAACATTATAAAGCAGTGTAATGATGATATAACTGTATTTATTTCAGACATCCAGTTTATCTGCAAAGAAGAAGCCAGGTGAGCTCATAATGTGTATTTATTTGGTCTAACCTTTGACGCTAAGTCACGTCACGTACCAGAATAGAGCAGAATACCTTTTTGTTGCATTTTTTTAAAGTTGCATCTTTGTGTTGCTTTGTGCACAGAGATCGCCCAGGTGATGAAGGCCCACCCCTCCACCGGCCCTGAACAGCTCAATCTGGAAAATGGCCAACTCATCCTCATCCTCGGCAAGAACAACTCTGGCTGGTGGCTCGGAGAGCTGCAGGTCAGTTTCCATCTGCTGTTCACAGCGGTGTCTTGATGGACGCTAGAGTTGCTCTCCGTCCACTTGGACTCAAGGGAGGATTTGGAGACAGTTGTTGACCAGCTGCTGTTCTGTTTGATTTAAATATCATTTCCCACGTTTGTCTGTGTTATCTGACTCTAGGCCCGTGGCAAAAAGCGTCAGAAGGGCTGGTTTCCTTCCTCTAATGTCAAAGTACTGGGATCCTCCAGCGGCAAATCCACACCAGCACCCCAACCAGGTAACACACACACACACGCACACGCACACGCACACGCACACGCACACGCACACGCACACGCGCACACACACACACACACACACACACACACACTAAATACATGTCAGATGAAGACCAGTGATAAAAAAAATAACAAAGTACACTAGAAATATAAATAATATAATGGTGTAACTCTTTTTCTTTCTCAGTGTGTCAGGTGATCGCCATATACGACTACATAGCCGCCAACGGGGATGAGATGAGCTTCTCTAAAGGTCAGCTGATCAACGTGTTTGACAAGAACAACCCTGATTGGTGGAGGGGAGAGATCAACGGCGTCAGTGGTCTGTTCCCCACCAATTACGTTAAGATGACCACAACAGAATGTGACCCCAGCTCAACGTGTAAGTAGATCCATTAAATATGATATTATGAAAAAATATGCAAAATACGGAGATGCTCTTCTCCCTTTTTGCTTCAATTCACTATGGCCCAATCCCAGTCTCAAGCCTGAACACTAGACCTCCTCAGGCTTCATGACTTTGCTTCTGTACGCAGCTTTAGTACTAGGGTGAATGACGAAAATAAATGCCAGATCTTCACAGGCTCTTTGCACTAATGAACTGTAGGCACGTCCCTAATGAAAGTCTGCAGATATGCAGCGTTAAAATAATAGTCTTAAAAAGGATGCATCAGAGCCCCAATGCACTCGAGGATTTCCCAGTGAGGTAACCCCGATCCAACAAGTATTAAAGGTCACCTATTGTGCAAAATCCACTTTTTCATGTCTTGTATTCATAAACATGTGTCCCCTCTGTTTAAAGAGATTCTGAAAGTTTCAGGAAAAAAGATTCTCTCACTTTTTGTCCTGATCCATTTATATAAAAACCTGTCTGAAAATGAGCTGATCAGATTTTGGCCACTTTGTGATGTCATAACGATTTTCTGGCTTGTGTAACCATTAGCCAATCACCAACCAAGGTAACCCCCCCCCACCTTATCACCTGAATCTCCTCCTAGAGCACCATTGAGTTCTTTTTAACCAAATATCTCTCAGAGGGGCGTGGGGAGGGGCTCCTTATTTTCATCTAAAGTAACAGACAGAGAATCAGCACTTTTGAAACAGGGCTGAAACAGAGGGGATTGTGGGATGCTGCAATGAACTGTTTGGTGTTTGGAGCCAAACACTTCAGAGACATGTTTTGTATATATCTGAGACCTATAATATATTGATGAAAAACAGTATAATAGGGGACCTTTAAAAGAAACGCAACTCAAATTCTGTGTGTGTGGAGATCGGGATTGGGCCTATGACTAACTAAAACAATATCATTTGTTCATCTTTGCAACCCCCATCAACCATTACTGAATCTTCATCCATCCATCTCTTCATCTGTATATCCTTTATTCTCACTGACTATTTCACCTTTCTTCCTATTTTCCCACCTCCCTCACTCCCTTCCCAATCTGCGTTTCTCCTTCCCTTTTCTCTCGGCTTCTGTCTCTTTCTCCTTCTAGGGCGGTAGAAATTCCTCTTCCTCTTCCTTCTTCCTACTCCTGACTCCAGAGAGACCCACTATTACACACTGCTCTGAAGTGGCACCTTGTCTGGACTCCCTTTCTACTAACTTATTGAACTAATGGCTGTGTGATAGAGGAAACAATGGGAGAGTCATGTGTTGCCTGTGAGCGAATAATGATTCTGTGAATTTAAAAGCCTCCGTGCCTTTTTGGATTTCCTCACTACTTGTTCTGATTGTGAACTGATGATGCTACATTATGCAGAGAAATAGTGGGTCTCTCTGTGGCTTTTCCCTCTTCTTTCCTTTGTTTTCCCTTCACAAGACACATATTTCCCCCTTATTCTGTGCTGCATCAAACTCCTTTTCCCCTTTTCATACACATTGTTTCTACCCTTCTTACTCTCCTGTTATGAGAGTCTAGCTCACACAGAGCCCACTATTTGTCTCCGTCTCTCCTCGGAGTTGTGTCTTTCTTCAGCCATGATGTTTAGGTTTGACTGACACTTCATGTGTCCTCACCGTCAAGCTTGTTGATATCTAAAAAGAATAATGCATGCTCCAAATTGGGGCCCAGCACTCCTGCAGTTGTTTCAACAATAAGGATTGAAGTATATCTTCAGAGAAATATGTTCAGGAAGGAATAAAGTAGTAAATATGTTCAACAAAAACTCGAGGGAACAGTATTTAAAATATATATATTCTATTTCAATCTCTACAGATGTTTGGAGATGTGGCATATTATTTTGATTTCCACTTTTTCTTTGTGGGCTTTTGATTGTGTGCCTTTGAAAACCTTTAGTTCAACTTAATTTAGACATGACATGGTACAAGCAGAATGGTGCATCCTGTCTGTTAAATTAAAAAGCCATACCTGGGTTATCAATAACTGTTTTTGAAGTGAGATGAAGCAAGTCTTCCCCATATGACGCACTGTTTTAACACTATGGACAGACATTTTCCTCAAGGGCTGTCATACAAACTGCTGCTGCATCTTATATGAACTGAAAGCTGTATTTGCTGCTCCTCTGAATTTTTCTGAATACAAAAGCTCTTCTTATGAATCATGTTGTACATCCTTCTCTCCTCTTCTCCTTGTCTGAGACCTGAAATGTAGATGGAGGCAGAGAATAGACTAGATGGAAACAAGTTGAAAGAAAGGATTTGTCCTTGTAGAGGGCGCACTGAGAGACATTTCTTGTTTACAGGCAGGAAGAGAGAGAAGCTAAGGAGTCACAAAATATTGAGAAATGAGAAGAGCTCCTGCTAACAGTGTTCACCACAATGAAAATGACATACAGAGGTTACCTGGCTCAGTTTAATGCTCTTTTGAAATGGGTTGAACCATACTGACAAAAGGCTGTATCAAGAGCTCAGTCAAAGCAACCACTAGCAAAACTGATCTGAAAAATTATACAGAACATTTGTCGTACAAGATGGTTTCAGTATTTTCAAGATGTGTACTAGTATATTTTCTGGTTCTAAAATAAAGTATACATATTAAAATGGTTTTAGCAGATTTTTTTGTTATTGTCAAAAGGTGTGTGTGTGTGTGTGTGTGTGTGTGTGGTGTTGTGTGTGTGTGTGTGTGTGTGTGTGTGTGTGTGTGTGTGTGTTGTGTGTGTGTGTGTGTGTGTGTGTGTGTGTGTGTGTGTAGTGTGTGTGTGTGTGTGTGTGTGTGTGGTGTGTGTGTGTGTGTGTGTGTGTGTGTGTGTGTGTGTGTGTGTGTGTGTGTGTGTGTGTGTGTGTGTGTGTGTGTGTGTGTGTGTGTGTGTGTGTGTGTGTGTGTGTGTGTGTGGTGTGTGTGTGTGTGTGTGTGTGTGTGTGTGTGTGTGTGTGTGTGTGTGTGTGTGTGTGATGTGTGTGTGTGTGTGTGTGTGTGTGTGTGTGTGTGTGTGTGTGTGTGTGTGTGTGTGTGTGTGTGTGTGTGTGTGTGTGTGTGTGTGTGTGTGTGTGTGTGTTGGGCAGATATACAGTATGTGAACAACTAACCTTTAAATGTTTTAGTGACCTGTACTGTATGCAGGGTTAAACATCCATGTGTGTTTCTTACTGAGGTAAAGTTTGGTATCTGATCTGGACATGTTCTACAAATAGTCTCAATTGACTGAAGTCTATGAAAGTTAGGAAAAAAACCAAGCTTTTTGTGCTCCAAACATGCGTCACAGGGTGAGAAACAAAGAGAGGATTCCTCTTCCTGTTTTGGTACAAACAGATTTGGTCTTGGAGAGGTTTAAGTCTGGTTTTGGGCAAGACAAGATAAGAGCACAGACGGAGAAAAAGACACACAGGAGAGACAGAGTACTGGCGGACAAACGCAGCATTAGACATATAATTATTTTAAATACCTGGAGAGACAGTCAGCACAATGGCTTTACAGAGCAGCTTTCACTTTTTAAACCCTTGGGAGGAGACAGACAAAGGAGAGGAAGGAGAAAGCCCAGTGAGGGAGCAAAAGTCAGAGAGCATGGGACCCTCACAATGGGTTAATGGGACCCTTGTATCAGGTACGTATTTACTGGTTTTGGCGTGTCCCTTTTTCCCCCTTTCGTCTTTCTGAAAGCTTCAGTACTGTGCGCGCATACACTTGAGAGAGCAGACGACTTAAAGAGAGCAGCATCGTGTTTAAGCTAAATTAGCTCCACTGCACCTCGATGTGGACCTAGCGTGTGATAAATGTCGAAGTGAAACTGCCTCACTCCTTCACATGGTGGTCAAGTCCTTTCTTAGTGAACTTTTGGGAGTCAGTCTTTTAGAATATTATAGAAACCCTTTACCACCAAATTCAGAGAAATCCTAATTTGTGGCATTATGGAATCCATACAGGTATATCAAAGTATCTATTAATTCATGTTTTTATGTAATGTTGTAATGTCTCTCTGTTACTATTAAGGTATATTATAGATAGTGTCTCTGTATTTTTCATAGTTTTAACTTTATGTTTAATTTCAATGTAATCAATCAATTAAATACATTTTGAAAGTGATAAAAGCAGCATATTTAGTTGTCGTTGTCCAAACGTCCAGCAGGAGGCAGTGAAAGCAGTGCTAAAGTGCTGCTGAGGTTTGCGTAGTGTCTTGGTTTCTGTTGCACTGGTTGAATGTTGTGTGTTTCTGTGCTGCAGGGTGTGCGGACCTGAACAGCCTCGACACTCTGAGCTCACAGGAGAAGAAGAGACAGGGTTACATCCATGAGCTGATCCAGACCGAGGACAGATACGTGGAAGACTTGCAGATAGTGATGGAGGTAATGGACACATGTCCTTCATAAAGAGAGAGTTTCACCCCAAAGTCCAAAATACATATTTCCCGTCTCACCTGTAGTGGAACGTATCAATCTAGACTGTTTTTGTGTGAGTTTACCAAATAAATCATTGGTACAGATGCCTGCCTTCTCGCTAATATAATGGAAGTAGCAACTAAATACTTTTGATAACTCAACAGCAACTTCTCTTTCTAGAATAATCTTCTGAAAATCTAGAGACCTTGTTTTATCTGCAAATTATTTTCTTTCTACCGAACCACAAAAATACTACCATACGACCTCACAGAAAAGTTTGAACCTACGCATGTGCGAAAGTCTAGATTGATAAAGAAAGTACACGTAAAAATGTATTTTGTGTTGGAACTGTTCCTTTTCTATTTAACAAGGTGATCCACTCTGAATAAGATGCATATTCTGTCAATCCAAAGTGTGTCAGGGTGTCTGCATGATCTCCTGGTCACATAGATGACAGTGTGTTTAATCTGCTATTTCCTTTCTGTCTAATGTATTCTCTCTGTTCAATGTGTGTGTTTGTGTGTGTGTAGGTTTTCCAAAAGCCTATGTTAGAGTCAGGCAGGCTGAATGAGGCTGAGATGGCCATGATCTTCGTCAACTGGAAAGAACTGCTGGCCTGCAACACTAAACTTCTCAAGTAAATATCCCATGGAGTGTGTGATGTCTCGGAGAGAGAGTCAGTCTGATGGAGTCTGATATGTCTGATATGTTACAGCTTCAGCTTCTTTTAAGTTATTTCTATAGACCTGTCTATACAAAACATAGATAGATAGATAGATAGATAGATAGATAGATAGATAGATAGATAGATAGATAGATACTTTATTTATCACAAGTTGGGAAACTGTTTTGTCATAGCAGCATGTTTGACAGTCATTGTGCAACAATTACAACAATTCTTAAAAATAGAATAAAATACAAATACAATAAATTAAACATAGGAAAGACGAGTATCCAAGAATACACACTATAAAATATACAGAATAAATTAGAATACACTCTAATATAACAATCTACTAAAGGGACAGACACATATAAACAAAGTGTAGTATAAACATAAGAAAAGGATGAACAGTAGCTTTGAATGAAAAGTAAAATCTGGAGCATGGGTGTTTATGCTTGTATTTGTGTGTGCAGGGCGCTGCGTGTGCGTAAGAAGACTGGCGGGGACAACATGCCGGTGCAGATGATCGGAGACATCCTGGCCGCGGAGCTGTCCCACATGCAGCCCTACATCCGCTTCTGTTCCTGCCAGATCAACGGAGCAACGCTGCTGCAGACACGCATCGACAGCGAGCCGAACTTCAAGGACTTCCTCAAGGTAGGAAGGGTTAGAGAGCGAGTGGAGATGTTTCAAAGTACACATATTCTGCAGCTATATACATGAAGGTTAATATCTACATTTTCAACAAGTTTAAAACCATTGTTTTGTATTCCCATTAGAAAATTGCCACAGACTACAGGTGTAAAGGCATGCCGCTGTCCAGCTTCCTGCTGAAACCCATGCAGAGGATCACACGCTACCCACTGCACATCAAAAACGTAGGCCATCATGTTCATGAGCGTGTCTGTGTGAACGTCTCATTAAGTAGATCAAATACTGACCTTACTGTGTGTAATTAGAAGAAGAAAAAAAAACGTTTTACCTTTTCTGGGTGTAATTAACTTGTGTGTGTATTTCTGTGTGTGTGTGTGTTTAGATCCTGGAGAGCACCACAGAGTGCCACTCTGACCAAGGTCCTCTCAAAGAGGCTCTGGAGAGGGCGGAGGAGCTCTGTCAACAGGTTCACTCTCTCATTTATTACCTTACGTGTCACTTTAATCATATTTAGTAGTTTTAGCTTTTTACTGCATCCTGCGTGGGAAGGATTTGAATGATGTTTGTTTTTTATTATTGTGTTGATCAGGTAAATGAGGGCGTGAGAGAAAAGGAAAACTCGGACAGACTGGAATGGATTCAGAACCACGTACAGTGTGACGGCGCTGCAGAGGTATTAAGATTATCAATGAACTTGCAATTTAGCATGAAATAATTGTATAATTAATCATACATTTATGAATGCATAATCTCAGAGAATATTTGATCCTAATGACGTTTTTTTCTTTCTACAGAACCTCGTCTTTAACTCGCTCACTAACTGTTTGGGCCCCAGGAAACTGCTCCACAGCGGCAAGGTGAGTAAAACTGAAACGGTTCTGGATATTTTCTATTTCACCAAATGAATATTTTAAATGTTAAAAGGACCAGAGAGACAGGGGAGTACATCGAAATGAAATGTGAAACATTAGTGGGTCAGACCGCTCGGGCTGTTGTGGTCGCATGATACGAGAGTAAAACTCTTACAGTGAGATGGTTCATCCGAGCAGAAACGCAACAGAAGGATCTCAGGCCGGACGATTCAGAACAAGAATAATATTGTTAAACAACATTTGCTTTTTGTCATGTAAAGCTGACTAAAGTACAACATTCATCACTGAGCCTTGACAGAAGTAGCTTTTCTGAGCCTTGCAGATTCTCATTGTTATAGTCATTTATAAATAATCTTTATCGTGTTTCTTTTCAGATGAACAAGGTAAAGAGCAACAAGGAACTCTGGGCTTTCCTCTTTAACGACTTTCTGCTTTTGACTCACGCGGCTAAGCAGTTCACATCGTCTGGGCCGGACAAACTGTTCAGCAACAAGAACAACGTACAGCTCAAGATGTACAAGCCGGTAAGACACACGCACGCACACGCACACGCACACGCACGCACACACACACACACATGCTATGTTTTAATATTGTCTTTGAGGTATTTTCTTTTAAAGAATCTTATAATATGTGCATTTTCTTTGTTGCAAGTTACTTTTAATGTTAAAGTTGAATGTTTGACTGTGTATAACGTTTGATCTCCTGCAGCCTGTGCTGCTAAATGAAGTTCTGGTGAAGCTGCCGGACCCCTCCAGCGACGAGCCCACCTTCCACATCTCACACATCGACAAAGTCTATATACTCAAGACGGACAATATCAATGAACGGTAGCTTCACACACACACACACACACACACTCACTCACTCACTCACTCACTCACTCACTCACTCACTCACACACACACACACACACACACACGTGATGTTTTTGGTGGACTGTACAATAACTCTGTGTGTTTTCAGGACGGCTTGGGTTCAGAAGATCAAGGCTGCATCTGAAGAATTTTTTGAGACAGAAAAGAAAAAAAGGGAAAAGGCCTATCAAGGTTTGTCTCTGCACTCACCCAGCCGGACTGATGTAACCAATGTGATGATCTCTTTATTAATCCATCGTGTGTGTGTGTGTGTGTGTGTGTGTGTTTGCAGCACGATCTGTGAAGGCCAGTGGAATAGGAAGACTCCTCGTCACCATCTTGGAGGCCACTGAACTGAAGCCAGCCAAACCTAACGGTGAGCAGGAAGCAGTCGTGTTCGAAGGTGGTCCTTACACCTCAGCGGACTGAGAAACGCACCTTGAACCTAAAATGTTTTGGTAGAATCCAGATGTAATCCCTGCTGCGTGCTGCACGCACTGCTGCATAGATGTCTAATGAAGCCAAGATGATAAGCCACATTTAATTACGGTGCTCTGTCATCCCTGTTTTCATCCGTTCACTTTCACTTAAGAGTCCCTCTGTGTGCTTAGTGCTTGTGCCTCACTTAAAAACATTACTATTATTTCCTTAGAGGGAATGTCTGTTTTAAAAACTTAAATAGTTAAATATTTTAATTGTAACCCTGTAAATGGCAGTTTGTTTAAATAATGCCAGTCAGAAAAATGTGTGTCCAAATATATTAGTGTTAGAAAATTGATAAATCTGGTGGAAACTGGGAGAAGCCACGGCTCTAGATGGAATGACCTATAATAGATGTTTTCTGAAATGGCTGTCAAATCAAACATGTCAGTTTTAATGGGAACTTGTTGTGCTTTAGGCTCTTATTATTTTGGCTAGAGAGTTTATTATAGGAGCTATGGTTGAACTTTCAAAACTTTGATAAAAAAAAACTCACACCTTTTTCAAAATGAATGCCGTACTGCATTAACGCAGACGAAATGGGGCCCAATGGTTAAATGCTCTTCATACTTTCTTTATTTCTTTTTTCCTCTCCCTCTTCTTCCCCTCGTTCCTGTCTGTATGTTGTTCCTCTGTCTTAATCTGTCTGCTCCCCTGTCTTCATGTTCCCTCTCCAGGTAAAAGCAACCCTTACTGTGAAGTGACCATGGGAGCTCAGATCTTCACGTCCAGGACGCTCAACGACACCCTGAACCCCAAGTGGAACTTCAACTGTCAGTTCCACATCAAAGACCTGTACCAGGACGTCCTGTGCATCACCATCTTTGAAAGGGACCAGTTCTCACCTGACGGTCAGTCACCTGCTCATTACTGCCCGTTTTATTTCTCCCCTCATTCCTTCCAGCTGTGGAAATACCGTCATCAGCCAAAAATGTGCCCATTGTTGTTGCTTGATTTTAACTTGGAGCAGCTGCAGTATCCATGTAGCTTGAATTACCTACTTGCATACCTTTCTGTAAGTGTAAGCAAATGCTGTTCTTTTTATATGTAACACCTTTCCATGTTTCCCCCCTATCCCAAGCCTGCTGATTTATCTGTAAAGCCCCAAAATTAAGTGAAAAGCTTAAGCTAACAAATGAATTTAAATGGCCAACTTTGCTGAAGACGCTGAAATAATTTTGACTTCTGGCCCCCAATTCTAACCTTTGTGTCACTGGAGCCCCACACATACCCAACTTTCACATTCTCTGAGCTCTTTTAAAAGCCAATTAAAATAAAATGTTCCTTTTGTACTTCTTCTCTTCATATCAGACTTTCTGGGCCGGACAGAGGTTCCTGTAGCCACCATAAAGAAAGAGTTGGAAAACAAGGGTCCGGTGACGCGTCGTCTCCTGCTGCACGAGGTTCCTACGGGGGAAGTGTGGGTCCGCCTCGACCTGCAGCTCTATGGCCACAAATAGACTTTTATATATATATATATATATATATATATATATATATATATATATATAGAGGATGAACTGAAATAATAATGGAGTCTTCTACAGAGACGACAACATTAGGACATTTTAATCCTGCAGTGTAACCAAAAGAGAACGGCTGCTTTCTGTCACCTAAACAAACTCAGATGGTTGCCCCCACATATCAAACAACACTCTCCTGATCGCGCATCACGCCTTAATATTTTAATAATAACCAGCACTAATAATACCTCTTCTGATGTCATCTGGATCTGCCAGTAGGCGATCAGGGTCAGAGTGACATCATATGGACCCACCAGTAAGAGACGGATCTTTTCTTCCTGTCTCATGACCCCAGAAGGGTAGCAGGACTGATGCAGCAGTTTAGGCCTGAGCAGTATGTTCTGTACACTCTGAGGGAAAAGAACAACTCCAGCGTGGCTTCCTAAACACTGCAGGCACACAGAGTGACATGAAGCTCAATCTGGTGTAAGAATGTTTAGCTTTCATAGTGAGGCTGTTAAAAAAATATGAATAAATCAGCAAAACTTTACTATTATCTAGACTCTTAAATGGATAGTTACGATGTTTAGAAGTTGAGTTGTATGTGGTGCTCTCTATATCAGTGTATAACCTACTGTAGGTGGACAGTTTGGAGAAGCGTACATGAGTCACGGGACAGAAGCAAAGTATTATTATGCTGTGGGCAGATGAACAAAATGTGTTTTAGTCACCAAGGCAAATATAACTGCTTGAGTTCCCTGTCAGAAAGGGCTTTCTTGTGGCAAGGTAAAGTGGTTTAAATGTTTTAAAAATAGCATAAACTGGTGTCTAAATGATGTTAAGCTGCTGCCACAGTTCATTGCTTTATTTCAGTGTTGTAACTCCTGTCTGCTTTTTCACTCTAGTGTAGATAATACACTGACCATGGATAAGAAGCACATTCAACCCCATTGAAAAAAGACCCAAACCTCTAAGACAGACATTGGGTTTTAAGTGTCACACACTTTGCCAAGTCTGGTCAACCACGGCCATTTAATAAGTTGGAATGTTTTCTTTTAATTTACAAGAAATGTTCATGTTGAATCTTTTTTTCTGAGATTAGGTCATGACTGCAGATTTCAAGAGACTCTGCTCTTTGATCTGTAAAAATCTCTCACGGTGAAATTATACTATTTGGGACAGCAGCTGGGTAGCTCTGATCTGAAGTCAGTTTATGCTGCAGATAGAAGATCTCAGGATACGTTGTTCTGGGATTCATATGTGTCACTGTAACAATGTTGTGTTTGTCTTTGTGTCTTTGGAGTGTTAACATTAAGTTGAAGTATAGCAATATACACATATTATCAGCTGAGGGCTCTTGATGCTGCAACTTTTTACAAGTTAACTCATAATGTCTGGCTTTAATGCAAGTCATCTTTTTTAGTCTTTTAAAGTCTGTTTCTAAAAACTATTATTTGGGATAATGTGGGTCTTGTTTGTGGTCAAATGAATTAACTGTTTCTTTCATGTGCAAAATCAGCTAAGGCCAAGTAGTGTGATTGCTAAAAGATTGAGGTGACAAAATGACGTTTTTGAGGATGTTTTTTTGACAGATTGTCAGCAATAACAAACATTATTTACTCATTTTATTTTAGTTCTTAACATTTTCACCCTACCACACAGACTTTTAGGTGTCATTCTTTAGCAACCGCCTCCTTGACAGCAATACTTTTCTCAAAACATCCCCCTTGAAAAGGTTACAAGGATGTCGTTTGTAAAAGCTTTTTATTTATGTTGTAGGTGGATTTTTTGGTGTCTTCTGCCCTGTTTTTATTCCTTTGTCCTTTGCATCCAGTCCCTTTTCTAACTCTGAGCTCCTGCTGGTGCTCTGGATATTAACAAGAGAAGTGTTGTATTTATTTCTTAATTTATGCGTGTGTGACTATCCAAAGGTTTGGAGCGGCTTTGCTTGCTGTGTCATCTTGGATAATCAGTTGTTCTCCACTGAGTTTGTTTTGTGTGACGTCAAATATTAAAGATGTGTTCATGTTGATACTGTTTTGAAAGGCAATATAACATCTTAGATGATTCTCTGCGATGAGTTTTACTGTAAAGTAGGCTAGGTCACTCGTCGTTTTGTTAGGCCTGCTGGTTTGTAATCTATTATTCGATCCACAATACTCTGTTTTTAAGCCCTTTATTAACGTTGATGCCCATTTGAATATGTGGAAGATGTGCAAATAGACTGGACAGGTCTGTGTAGAGGTGTAAAGGTTTGTCTTTTTATTTTTGCTTTTTATTTTCCGCAGCCTTCTGCATTGACTGCTGCTGTGCTAACTGAGTTTTAAGGCTTCTCTAACCCAGATTGTCTGTAACCTGCTGTCTGTACTCACTTCGGTCTACGTGTGGCGCTCTCTGAATCAGGGTTTCTCAAGTCAAATTAAAGACATTAAAAGTAAACAAACTGTCAAATTATTGGCTGTGACATTTAACCTTTGGAACTTTCAGCCAACAACTTCCTGCAGCAGTACTGAAGAGGTGAGTGACCCCCAACTTCAGCTTTAGACACAACGAGTATTTATAAATGCTGCACGTTTGCTGCACGTTTACGGGCTGGGCTTGGACACCATTACATAAAAAAAGACGTTTGCTGTCATTTTATCCATACTTTTTGTTCTAAAGTAAATGCAGAGTATTCTTTTAAAAAAAAAAATAGATAAATTACATGTTTGGTGCATACAATAAGCAGTAAAGGGGCCCTATCATGCTCAATTTCTCGTTCATATTTGTTTTTTGTGACTACTGTTTACATGCTTTAATGTTCAAAAACATTTACATGCACAAAAACCTATAGAACACACTGGAAAGGGAACCCCCCCCCCCCCCAAAAAAAGTACTGCAATAACACAAGGTCAAGAACATACATTTTATATTTGTATAAAATATTTGATAATATAGTTATTCTTTAGTTAAATATAGTCAAAACGTGTTTTTATATGAACTGAATTTCAAGGAATATCAACATGATATTAAGAGGATTTTATTATATTTGACTGGTTTCTGTTGGTGTCCAGCCACAGAGTAACTGAAGTTCAGTGTGGACTGTCAGTGTGCACGAATATATCTCATTAAGTCCTTCTTCACCCTCGACTGGCTCCTGGTCCACGGAGCTCCAGTCGTTATGTAACCTCGCTGAGAGGCTCTGAGGGCCGACAGCAACACAGAGCTGAACTCTCCTGTAGCACGGTGCTACGTTAGTGACATAGACGGCGCTAACTAATGGTAACTAATATTTGTAATGCTTGATTAAAAAGCCAATGTGTCACATGTAGATGAACCCCTTTAGGGAATACATCCCCCTCATAATAACCATTTGTATATTAATAACTCAGCCCATGTTACAGTGAATTCTTGAAGATCTTTTTCCGCATGCCTTTGGGGTGAACACAGATTAAAAAAACAGAAGTCTCGATAAATTGAAGGAAATGTGCAATGAAATAAACTATATCAAAACATAACTTGTGCAGTATAATCCAATATTATCGAGTCGTATGCTCATTACTCATACTGTACTGTACACATGCATTCTCTCTTAAACCAAAGTATTTCAAACACTTCATCATACACCGAACTCACACAGGAGAGTAGCGCGCCTAGCAACAATCCATGTGTTCTTAAGATGCAAAAGCTTGAATACCTGGCATTTTAAATAATAGAAATCTATTGATGGCAGCATTATCTTTTAGCAGGTCTCTGCAAAGAGGACAGTGTGCATCCAGTCATTCCTGCATGAATTGTCTCCCATTTGATCTTGAGGTCATGAAATGTTGATTTAAAAAAAAAAATCTTTTTACTACTACTATTTTACCATCTTCTTCCAGTGTGTTGGGAAGGAAATACATTTATAGAGCTGATAAGTCCAATACTAAGCTAAATTGTAAACATAGTACTGTACCTTGAAGTACAATTAAACACTACTACAGGGGTGTCAAACTCAAGGCCCGGGGGCCAAATCTGGCCCGCGACCTAATTTTAGCTTGCAAAGAATATAATATACAATACAATTGGTGTCAATTATTTGCCCTAGACTTCTGCTTTCAGACGTAGTTATTTAGGAAGATATTACCAGAACTGATAATAATCCAATGCAGGGCCAACAATGTAATATAATACATTATTTAATATATATTTACATATGTATATTTAATTTATATATAATTAATATTACACCCGGCCCTTTGAGTGCAACCATAATGCTGATGTGGCCCGGGATGAAATTGAGTTTGACACCCCTGCTCTACTACCACTGTATATTTGTATTTTTTATCTCTTGAATATTAATTGCAAAACCTTGGGGCATTTTACTTTTATATTTATTTATTTGACAATGGGAACAGATGCCCCTGCCTGTGAGTTCTCTGTTGCTACAGGCCACCTTTGCTCAGTGTAGGTTTTTGGCCATAACAAGACCCCTCATTATTTTTGGTCTGTGCGTGTTGGTGTGCGTGTGTGTGTTACATAAGACGGCTGTTCATGTGGTGAAAATCAAATCATTCCCATGACTGAGTCAAGTGGAACTGAGGGCCTCTCAGACTCATCCTCGCTGCTCTCTCTCCCTCTCCGTCTCTCCGTGTGTTGTCCCTTCTGTCTCTGTTTTTCTTTCCTTCTGCCTTCAAACTACTCTTATTCGGCTTTACTGCACTGCACTTTTATATTGTATCTCACTCTTTACCTGGCTGTCACCCCCTTTGCTATTTATGTCGTTTGTCTGCCCTATACCGAACCTTTATTAAGATATACATGAATAAAATATTAAGAAGAGAAAAGGTTCTGTATCATGAAGCTCCAACATAACTAATGACACATTAGAAGATACAAAGCAACTTTATTATTCATTTAGAGACAGTTTGCTCGGGCTGAATGATATAATGGGACAGCCGACCTGAACACACTCTGTCAGTCGTCTCACTGAAGGTGACCAGAGTCTTCCACTGCTAGCTTACCAGCTGTAAGTATTCACAATGGCCATGTTTGTTGTTTTACGTTCACTAATTTGGGGGGGTGGCTTTAGAGAAAGGCCTGAAGAGATGGGCTGTCATGTGTTTCCATATAGGGACATTTTGCAAGATTAAAGCCACTTCCCCGGCTAGTGCTGCTAGCTACTGCAATTGAAAAAGTGGTTTGCAATACTGTTTTTTTTTTTTTCCCCGGTTGTATAATTTCAAACAATAAGATTCCTCATAACGTTCCTCAGAAGTAACCTCCCTAGATTTAAAGTTAAGTTGTGCTAAAAAAAATAAAAGTATGAAACATTAATAGCATCATCCTGTAAGGACTGCTTGAGTAAATACATTCATTTCACCACTGAGTTGGTGCTGACGGCACTTTATTTTTCTGATGGATTTGAACTGAGGCGACCCACACTGGTTCACCTCTTGGGTCATGAATAATGAAAGGACCTACCAGAGGAGCAAAGGCTGTACAGTTATTTAGTCCAGTGTTCCCGCCCTGCGTCTGACACTCACTACTCCTGTCCCTTGCTATTTCAGAGATGACTGACAACAATTCCTCACAGAAAACACAGTGTTAATATTTCATCACACCAGGCTGGAGGTGCAGAAAAGGATGCATTATGTATGGTAAGTGTTGCATATGTTGTTCATTCTGCATGCAGGCGTAGTTTGGATTTGTGTTTAATTTAATGTATGAATAACAATCCTGATCACGTGACGATGGTAGTGTCAATAAGGAATGATTTCCAATTTGCCCTAAAGGATATTTTCAGATTTAAATGTTTGTTTTCGTACGTTTTTTTTTGCGTCCACCTTTATATAAAAATATAATAGTCTTCTAAAAGATGTGCTTTGGTTGGTCAACACTGAAATATTACTGGGAAATATTGCATTGATTGCTATGACTTTTTTCACACACATGCATGGTCTCCAGATGACGTTGGTGATCATGTGACTTTCCCTCTGGTGCTACTGGGGTTTCATTAAATGTATCAGTATTGTTAATAACCATAATAATTCAAAAAGGAAATATTATGTTACTACAGTACACATTATGATTTTGATGATTTGATTGATTTGCCATAGAGGAACAATATTCACAATACACAACGTTAGAGATTAATTTGACTGACAGCATTATTACCTCAAAATGGGAAATTATTTTGTAAAAGCAGCAGCCGGTTTATACTGCATTGCACAGGAACTAAAAATACAGATGTGATATATGCAAGTCAACACACACCTACAGTATATCAGAAAGAACTGCAATGTGATATTGCGATAATGTGAAACGGGGTGGATTGTAAGATTTGCAGATGACCTTCAACTATTTCTTATTAATTACTCTTTTATTTTGTGATACAGTAACCCTCTCATAGTGTAGAGTGAAGGAAAGAAAGAAGTCCTTTTAATACATTTTAATTCTGCTTAGGATATAAAAAGACCATGAAGAGAATATTGCAGTTGTAATGTTTTCTCTTCAGTAATGTTGTTTTCTTTTGACAAATGTGGGCTAAAATGTGCTGCGAAAGACTGCAAATATCATAAAGCACATCTAACATTACAATTATTTTTGCGTTATATTAAAAGTAGCTCACCCTTGTTGCTTTCATTGTATTCAAAGTGTACCCAAAAGCAGCAGTTCATGTTTGACCTAAAAGCAAAGTTTGAGTGTTTTTGTCAAACACCTGTTGAGAGCGGTTGCCCTGAATAACTGCAGGAGCTTTCTCAGTTGCGTAACATCAGCACGAAAATAACCTGCCAACATGACAGGTCGGCTGATAAAGAATTCATAAACAGTATATGATATAAATGTATTTTTAGAAATGTGTTGATTTAGCACTGAAACATCATTCCCATGTTTCCATAACATGTATTCACACACACACACACACACACACACACACACACACACACACACACACACACACACACACACCACACACACACACACACACACACACACACACACCTTACAATATCAAAGTAGTAACAACTGCTGTTGTTGTTGTGTGTGTAAACATGTAGTAAGAAAGTCAATTCAGAAACATTCATAATACAAACAAAAGGTTATGAACAATGCACATTTTAGACTTTATTAAATTAATTGTGTTACACTGATTTTGAAAGAGGCTGAATAAATCAAATGTTTTACCATAAGTACTATTTTATCTCATGTTAAGCACCGTTTTGTGTGTGGTAGTGTATACATTTGGCACATATGTCACATGTAGCTACATTCAAATAAAGACACATGTGGTTTTCCAGCATTACACGTGAAAAATATTTTCAGATTTCAAAAATCTGAATGTTATGATGTGAGGCATTTTGTCACTTTGTCCCTCCCTCTTTCCCTTCCTTTTTTTCTCTCCTCCTGCTAGTGAGCATTCTGCGTGAAAGAAAGAGAAAGAGGCAGCGATTCTGAATTGACGACTATGCACGAGTGTGACTGTGTGTGTGTTCTTGCTAAAGTGTGTGTGTGTGTGTGAGATAGAGAGAGAGAGAGAGGGAGAGAAGACAGGGATTTGGCCGACTTGTCGGGGTCTTTCATGTCACATGTCTGCCCTGAGGAACTGACCCCTCTCTCCCTGTGTGTGGAAAATAAACTGGAAAAACTCAAATGGAACATCAGAAAACTCCTCTCTGCAAAACAGTGTGAGCAACATCCCTCCTGCTGCCTCGGCATCAAAGAAAGAGCGGCTGAAAGGAAGAATGTATCAACATTTTTCAATTTGCATTAACGTAAGAAAGTGAAGAGGAGAGCAGGGCTTGTATATGTGTGAATATTTGACAACTGTGGGAGGACGCAGAAGATTTATTCATTTAATTATACGCCTAGTGTTTTTTTTCTTTTTTGAGGGAAAGGCAAAGGGGAGGAGAGAGTAGAGAGCAGAGGAGTTCAGAGCAGAGAGAGGAGAGGACCAGAGCAGAGGGAGGAAGGAGAGGAGGAGGAAGAAGAGGAGACAAGAGGGGAGGAGAGGAGGGAGAGGAGTAAACACACTCCAGATGGGATCTTGGCATTAATGAAATGTAAGTATAAATAGTGTGTTTGCACGTGCATGAGTTGCTGAGGTTAATGCTGCTGATGATGATTGTGGTTGTCAGTGTTGTTAATGATGTGAACAGTCGTATGTTGTAGGGAGAATGACTTTATTCCCCTCCATACATCATTACCCTTTCTCCCTGTTGAATATCTTTACACTTTCCAGCTCTGTTTTTCTCTCACTCTGTCTTTGTTCTATTTCTGTGTACAGACGGTCTCTCTCTCTACCTCTGTACTCTCTCTGCAGGTCATGTTAGATAGTATCGGACGGTGCAGCAGCGGAGGGAAAGGACAGTGTCACATTGCATTAGAATTACACAAACGCACACGCAGGGAGAAATACGCTCAAAGTGTGATAAGCGCACGTGAACAATGTGTATAGAGAGTATCTCCTGTGGTGTGTGTGTGTCTGTGTTTGTGTGTGTGTGTCTACAGCATGATTATGAATGAAGCAGGCATACCATACAGTCCTCTTAATCACATGGAGTATAAAAACAAAGAGCCATTGTGCCACATAAGAATTTGGCCAGACTGCGCTGACAGACAGAAAAAGTGAGGGGAATAAATATAAAGAGAGGAAGAAGGAAAAGTATCTTGCTCTTCCTGTTGGGATTTTGGATCTAGTCTTTAATAATGTAGCAGAAACTAACACATTGGATGATACAAAATGAACAAAGAAAGCATGCATGTCCAATTATTGTTATTCTTCTGTGGCTGAGAACTTTTTTTAACCATTTGAATTGCCATAAAGCGATAAACCTGATTAATTTAATTTTCTTGTGTAATTGTGTAAATTAAATTCCACATTTTGGACAATGTGCTCATTTGTATTCATGCATGCTACAAGTAGCAGATGGATAGCTTAGCTTAGCATTAAGGCTGGAAACAGCTAGCCAGTCTCTGTTAAAAATCCACCTGCCTACTACTGTAAAGCTCACTAAATAACATTGTGTATACTCAGTTTCTGTTGTACGCCTAACTAAAACGAATGCAGACTTAATTAATACATGTATTTTATTTATTTTAGAAATGTTTTTAATAAATAGGCAGTTAAATGCATCTTGTCGGGTTTGTACAAAAAACAAGTAAGTGCCCATCCAGTAAGCGTAAGAGTAGCAGCTGCACGTGTCCAAATCTGCTGCATGTCATCCGCTCTCCTGTCTTCTTTAGCTATACTAATTAAATGCAATAAGGCCAAAAGGTCATCTTAAAGAAAAACAAAAAAACTATTCAGTGTATTTCAGGGAGCTGTGGGACTATTTCTTGACCAGTTGCAGTCTCCATGAAGATACTGATCCTAGACAAGAAATAGTTTAGCATGTATGCCAATTGTAGTTTCTTACCTGCAGTTCTGTTCTTGTACAGTTTAAGATAAAAGATAACGTGACAACTATTACAAATCCTATAGATCCCCAGATAATACTATCATGCGACTAATGCTTTAGACACTACAGATGGGCTAACTGTGTATCGTCTTTATGCTAAGCTAAACCAACTTCCTGCTGGTGGTAGCTTCACCAGACAGACACAACAATGATTCCCAACTTTTTATCTAACTTCTTAAATTCCTCAACAATAAAGGAATTATTTTTGAAAAAACGTTTTGGTTAGACAGTCACATGCATGGATTAATACAATGAATGATAAGTCCTCTCATGCATAATACAGTAGTCATGTCATCAGTGTAAAAAGCTCCTGGGATCTAGACTCTTGGTAGCAGCTGTAATGAGCTGGCTGAAGGCCAGGTCTCATACTGAAGTCCTTACATAACTACAGTGTTCAGCTACTTGATAGTACATTTTGGCACGAGTTTTTACTACACTTACCTGTGGAGACAGTTTATCTTTGAATGTGTTGTCTGCTCGCACTTGTTGAAATGTTGTTTGGATGCAGTTACGTAATGAAACTAAACAGTTTTTATTTAAAAAACCAACAAAAAACGAAGTGGGGTCGTTTAAATTAAAAAGCATGCTGATAATATACTTAACTGAGATTTATTTTTGTTGTTTGAATCAAAGTCTATGGTTTGAATACTGCATGCTTTTTGCTGCAAACAACTAACCTCAATTGACAAATCAAGAAGACAAAAAGAGAGAGTAAGAGCAGGAACAGGAAGGAGCGGGGGGGACAGTCACGTCCTGCAGCATTTACACGCAACATCCCAAAATGACCCTGACAGTCAGTGCGTTTGGAATAGCTCGCAGGTGTGGGTTGTGTTATGTCGCACTGCAATGTCATGCAATCTGTGGTCATTGTTGTTGTTTCCTGCTGCACTTACTGTGTTTGCTTTTTGACATAATTACAGGCCCAATATTTTTATTCCAATGAGTGTGTGAAGATTAGACATCAATACATTTTACAGTGCACTTGTTTTCACTAATGTGACAAACACAATGCAGATTTGTTCTTTATTAAGATCTCGGTTTCTACTTGCATGTCAAGAGTGAAAACAAACAAATAATGGGGCAGTTTGAAATTCTCTGAGAGCTTCATCCATTTTTAATCTGTTTTTACAGCCTCACAACATGAGAGTACTACGTGAACGTTTTGGTCCCTTTTTACTTTTGCTCAATTTAAACTTTTTCCGACTGCACTATTCATTATTTAAAGATAGTGTTTTCGGGGTTAAAACATTCATTTTTCAACCCAATAATCGGTGAAGTCTGGTCTTACTTCATAAAGTGATTAGACCTATTTGCAATCATTGATACAATCTTTAATGGAGAAATAAGTCTCATCAACACCCATTGAGGACACAATAACATGATGAGTGTTTTATAGCAGTCAGCTGGGGAAATCAAAACATGTTCATGAAATTAAAAATGCTCGACAAAAACAGAAAACCAATATCAGTGTCCTTTTAACCCTGCCTCACCGTTTGTACTTTCATAACATTATTAACGCTCACACAGACTCATTTCATTTGGAAGAACAGATTCATACGTTTTGGATGTGAACATTATGAAATGTTAGTGAAGAATGTCAGCCCAGGGGCTTCACAAATTATAGAGTAATTATAGAGACACGCTTCAAGCACAGAATGTCACTCATCTGTGTGAATATTGCTTAGCTAGAGTGTTACACTTTTGCAGATAAAGACAATAAAAGTAATTAAGGACAGAGGAATGAGTTGTTCTTTAGAAATGCTTGAAGGGAAGTGTAAATGTCTTGCAGGATTTGAGAGAACCCAGCAAGTGGTGATAAAACAAACACTATTTTTCTTACAATATTAAACAAGCCTGCAATGAGGAATCTTCATTTAGAGTGCATCTTTCAGATCTGTATGTTCAACACTTCATCGTAAGTGTGTCAGAGGACTCACTTTGGTTTGGTATCGGCTCGAGCTTGGTCTCAGTTCAAGCGGTCATGACTAGAACAATGATTTTAGAGGAAATAAATACGGAAAACGACCTAATATTGAAATACAAATAGAAGAAATATCATAGATTTATAAAAGAATATATGTTTTTTCTATATTTTAATAATCACCTTATGAACCCTCAAATATATCCTAATGATTTCGATTTTTACGTTATCTTCACGTACAAGATAGCAGCTGACCAATGAGCCAAAATCTTAAAAAAATGATGTATTGTGAGATATTAAAACTCTTGTAAAGTGATATAAAAGGTAAAGGATCTCCGTGGATAATCTCCAGGACTTTAGCTCTGTTACTCTTTATACCCTCCTCCCCAGTCTGTAGCTGTAAAGTGAAATATGCTTTATATGTATTATCACAACCATCAATACCGCACACCCTCGCACTGAAGGGGTAATTCTGAGTGTGTATAGGGGACTCCCCCTCTGGGTGTGGGGCTGCATGTCTAGACACAATACTGTACACAAATATCTGTCTGTATCTCTACTCTACATTTAACCTGGGTGTTGCAAATAAGTGTTGGCAATAAATGGTGTGGTATGTTGTATTGGTTGATACTGTTCTTGTCTCAGAGAAAAGAACATAAATACGTCCAGGCCCACAGAATATGTCTGCATCACGACCATGTACCGTTTTCAGGTCAGTGCCTTAAAGGGATAGCTTGAATTGTTAATAAATTGGGTTGTATGAGGTCACTATCCCTCATTGTACCACAGTAGATAGCTCAACTAACCTCAGCTGGTTAGTGTGTTTGTGTCATTGTGTGACTTTGGGGAATTCAAAATAACGTATGCAAATATCACACAGTAACATAAACAAATCGAGGCACAGCAGACCAGCATCTTGTATCTCCTGTGTGTGTGTCCACTAGCAAGGTCAGCTACAGTGCATCTTGATTTCTATTTAAAACGTTGGTTTGGCTGATGGCAGTTTGTTGCCACCTAGTGGATCATGTAAGAGACAATGACCTGCTACGTTACCTTTACTTGACTTTCTACTAAAAAACATTTCAGTTCAGTAGTTAACATGTGTGTGAAGGTTAATGTCACAGGGACAAAATACAACCTCACCACAGGACAGCCAGGAGGTCATGGCAGGAAGTTGCCACTCTACAGTGTTAGCTACTAATATAACTAATGGCAAACTTGATACCTGATGCTTTTGAGAGAAAGATAGTAAATAACTGTTTATAGGCATAATGTAGATTGACAATCTTATATTTAGTTCATTGATTTTTACAAGTGTGTCATGCATGAATAATATGCCTAGCCCATTTTTTTTAAAGTTACATTTTGTAAATGAATGCCAGAGGGGGCCCTTATTCTTTGAGCGCATGGTGCCGTGTAGACGCTTTCAGAAATCCATCCATGCTCAGGAGGATAATGTCTAGGATTGGGTTTAAGCCTACAATTTTTCTTGTAAAATGTCCAAGATATAGCTATACTATTTAGGTGTAATTTGCCAATGCATACAATACTGTTTGTTGTTTTTACTGTTGTTTTTGACAACTGTCAATGCACAACCATTGTATGAAACCATACATAATTGCTTTAAAGTGTGTGTGTTTAAATATTGGCATGTGACTGACAGGGAAAAGTCCCTTGCTAAACCCTGCAGGCGAACAGCTCAGGCATGTTTGTATCCACAGCGAAAAGTGAAAAACGATGTATAGATTAAAGTGTAAGGCGTCCAACTTTTCTTAGTACTGTAATTATATTACAAATAACTCATCCTGTCTCATCACCTCTAAGATAAGTTTTAGTTATGGTTAAATACAAATGTCTACAAGAGAGTATTTCTTAAAACACACTTCAATACTTCAACACCGAGTCTGAATCATTAAAAATGAGCGCTGGTGGTTTCACATGAATAACACAGGGCTGTAAAACCGTCAAAGAGTTCCAGGATAACTATCATCTTCATTTAAAAAATATCTGTTTTTACATCATAGGTGATTTCTTAATGTTTTTGTCTAAGACTGAAAATAACCATTTACCCACATTTAAGGTAGGGTAGGTAATTCACTTCAGAAACACTTTTTGTTATATTCCATGGAATGCTCTTAACATCCCGATAGCAATGAATATATTAAATGCTTTGACAATAAATACATACAAAAATTTCATCTGAAGCCGTAGTACTGTAAAAAGCACGACCAATCATTTTAGCCGGCCCGGCTAAAATAACTGGATGGCCTACCTGCCTGTCAGCCTTCCATCTGTGCACAAACTTATCTTGTGCCCTCATTGGTCATGTGCGCGTTCGTGTGTGTTGGAGGAGGGGCTCTGTAAGGAAGTCTGAAGGAAGGGGCAGATTTTTTTTCGGCTGCGTAGTTTCAAATTCTAGCGCACTCGAGCTGGTTTCTCCATTCTTACCTACCCTACCTTTAAGGTCATATTGACAAGGTGCAAATATTGACTCCATACAGTATGTGTTTGTTTTCAGCCTCAGATCCTCAGGCACTAAATCTTAAGGTCACTTTGCTTTTGCCATCAAGTTGAACTTTGGAACAACTGACCTGATGAGGCTCACTGAATCTGTGACCTTTGTTACATCTCTTCTTACAACTCATTATAGACCTGCTTTTGTCATTTATCTATTTATTGCTTTTATTCTTTTCTTTTGTATTCGTATTGACCTTTTTTTTTAGGTGTTTTCCCTTTTCTTTACCCTGTTATGCTTTCACGTCCTAAGTCTTCTTTTTTTAAAGTTGACCTTAATTTATATTGTATTTTGTTTTTGTTTGGCCTTACTGTTTGGCTTTCTGTTGTTATATTGCATTGTGGATATCCTGACATGCTATAATTTCTAACTTCTGTCTAGGGGAGGCATGAAGTATGAGCTCCATTGATCTCTGCAGGAGAAAACAATAGGCTCAAGTGGCTGAAATCATGAGCGCCCCGACGTCAGGAACCCCAAACATGGAGGTGAAGGTGGGCTACCAGGAGATGGCACTGCTTAGCAACATCCTGGCAGCGTACACCTTCATTGCAGGTGTGCTTCACTGTGTGTGATCATCATTATACCCCTGTTGTGCTTAAAGATAAGAGGTAAGGGAAAGGCATTGTTCTCCATTCAGGGGATAATATGGGTTGTCTAACTCTTGGGCCACTCTTGACTAACAGTTGAACTGTGTTAAAAATACTTAATGTAGATGTAAATAATCGTTTGAAATATTGAAATTTAAAATCCTCAATTAAAAAAGATAATCAAACTAGAAAAGTGAAGATCTCTGCCAGGTGTTTCTCCTCTCCCCTCCCGAACAAAGAAAAGGTTGACCTTAATTCATTAGTTTTTCCCGGCTCCTGTCACGATGGTGGAAAACGTAGCAAAAAGAAGATTTATTAATCCCGTATCGTGCCCAAGTTATTCTGTGTATGACATATTGTGTATGAAATAAATCTGCAGATTACAGATCTGGTTCAAAATGAGACCAAACGTTTCTATACATTTCAAGTTTTGACCAACGAACATACTTTAGATAACTATCTAATGAGCAAGTAGGGGGCATATCTGCAGTAAGAAAACTTGTTTCTATCAGGCAGCAGGTGAACAGGAAGCATGTAGTTGGCTGTTATAAAGAGGTTACCAAGAAACTAACAAAAAGACACAGGTGGGATGAAAACTCAACAGTGTTACAAACTAGTGGACAGGTGATTGCAAACAACATACAAAAAGTGCAGCAGAAGAACTTTTTGGGTATCAAAAACGTTTTTTCCCTCTCTTAGACCAACCCGAGAGGACAGCCTTGGTGTTTCTGGGCAGTGTGTGTGTCGGCCTTCTCCTCACACTCTGCGCCATCGTCTTCCAGATACACTGTCGAGCAGACTGTCACATCGGCAACAGTAAGCACCATCGCCACAGGACCAGGCATCATCCTCATCCTCATCATCTTCATCATCGACATCGCAGCTGCCCCCTCCATCCGGCCATTGAAAACAATCCAGACAGCACTGCTGTTGTTCCGGTCAGAGGCCCCGGGCCCACCGGCGACAGCGAATCAGAGGACTGGGATGAGACGTCTGACCTGTCGGCACGGAGACGAAGACGCTTTGAGAGAGCTCTGCTGAACGCCACCATGTTTACATCAGCCGAGGGTATCTAACACACAGACACACACTTATATAGTCATGTCTGATATTAAGACCATTAAAGGTAGGGTAGGTAAGTTTGAGAAACCGGCTCGAGATAGACTTTTTGTTATATTCCATGGAATGCTCTTAACATCCCGATGACAATGAATATCTTAAGTGCTTTGACAAAAAATCCATAAAAAAATGTCATCTGTGGAAGCCGTAGTACTGTAAAAAGTACGACCAATCATTTTAGCCGGCCCGGCTAAAATAACTGGATGGCCTACCTGCCTGTCAGCCTTCCATCTGTGCACAAACTTATCTCGTGCCCTCATTGGTCATGTGCGCGTTCGTGTGTTGGAGGAGGGGCTCTGTAAGGAAGTGGCAGATTTTCTCCGGTTGTGTATTTTCAAATTCTGGCGATCTCAAGCCGGTTTCTCAAACTTACCTACCCTACCTTTAAAGGAAAAAGTCATACATAGTGACGTCATTATGTTACTGAAGTTAATAAAGGAGTCCAATGCGGGTGTTTAAGGCAGGGAGGGGAGTGTGTGAGAGAGAAACTCCCTATGGAGGGAACTTTGTGAGATAAGCCTTTGCAGACTATTTGCATGCACAAAAACCGATAAGAGACACACTATAGGAAAGGGAAAACCCAAAATATAGGCCCCTTTAATATGTTTTTCCCGTGTTTGGATCCCCATTAGCTTCCACATTAGCTTCCACAAAGTTGTTGCTCTTCTCCCTGGGGTCCAAACACCTTCTCTCAAATATGATTGAACTACATGGCACTATACAAATACATTCAAAACAGGAAAGCATTTTTCCAGAAATCATGACCCAGATTCTCAAAATAATCGACAGACCGTGTTGTGAGTTTCACATAGGAACTATCTTCTTTCTACCAAACTACTGAAATACCACCATATCAACGCGCAGCAAAAACTGTGCTTCTACTTATGTTAGAGAGGCTTAACATGACAGATGTAAACGTGAATGGCGTTTTCATTCATGTTTTGGAATTATGCCTTAAAGATACTGTGTCAGTGTACATTAATACTCACGCACAGACTTTTTATCTCTATGAGCACTGCTGGCATGCTCATCCTTTGAAATAGTCTGTGATGTGAAAGTTGATGGTTATGCAAATGGTAATCATGTGGCTGTGCTTTAACCCCTGTGTGTGTGTGTGTGTGTGTGTGTGTGTGTGTGTGTGTGTGTGTGTGTGTGTGTGTGTGTGTGTGTGTGTGTGTGTGTGTGTGTGTGTGTGTGTGTGTGTGTGTGTGTGTGTGTGTGTGTGTGTGTGTGTGTGTGTAGTGTGTGTGTGTGTGTGTGTGTGTTGTGTGTGTGTGTGTGTGTGTGTGTGTGTGTGTGTGTGTGGGTGTGTGTGTGTGTGTGTGTGTGTGTGTGTGTGTGTGTGTGTGTGTGTGTGTGTGTGTGTGTGTGTGTGTGGTGTGTGTGTGTGTGTGTGTGTGTGTGTGTGATGTGTGTGTGGTGTGGTGTGTGTGTGTGTGTGTGTGTGTGTGTGTGTGTGTGTGTGTGTGTGTGTGATATTTGATATTTGATATTTGATATTTGATATTTGATAGATCTGGACCGGACCCAGAGGCTAGAAGAGCGGGAACGGATTCTCAGAGAGATCTGGATGAACGGACAACCAGACATCAGTACAGTCACTCAAAGCCTCAACAGATATTACTGACGCACAATTAAACAGGATGATAGTCAGAGGAATATACAGACAGGCTGGCAGGCAGATGGATGAAGAGAAAACAATTAAAAGAAATACACTGGATGGAATCAACATAAACCACCAAAGAGACTCTTACAGATCCAACTATTAGTGACAGTAGAGCTGGGAGCTTCCCCTCTGCTCTGTAAACAGCAGGAAAACATATGAGCTGTGATCTTACATATAGTCTGTGATCTTACATATAGTCTGTGATCTTACATATAGTCTGTGAGCTGTGACGTCTCAGCCTCCAATGCAGGATGACACTGAAGTGTTGTGAAGATTTATGTCAACAAGCAAAGACACAACGGACCTACAGAGCACACACTGCGATATGTGACTGCTGTTGGTGAAGACTGTAGGGATTTTATCATTTTTAAACATTTTAAAGGTGCTTTTAAGAAAGATATAGCTGGTTCACAACGAGAGGCAATGCTGCCACAGGTCCTGAGTGTGTGTTTTATAATCTAGAGCTGCAACTATTGGAGGATTGAAAATAATCGCCAATTTTTAAATAATCCATTGGTTAAAATTCTGTTTTCAGCTTCTCAAATATGGAGATTTCCTGTTCTTCTCTGTTTTATATAACATTAGACTTACATTACTTACATACATTGTTTTTTATCTGACATAACAAGACATTTAATGACCTCACCTTAGACCCCTAATAAACTACAATGCACATTTTTCACAGTATCGCACATTTTAGCATTTGAACAGACGAAGTGATTAATTAATGAATCTAGACAAAAATGGGCATTAATAATGAAATTAATTCTTAGTTGCAGCCTTATTAAGATATATTTGATATTATGTTGTTGCACTTTTTTCAGCTTATACTTGTTTTTGGGACGAAAGCTCAATGCCAAGATACACAAACATACTGGTGCTTTTACTGCTGGAAATCCTCAGATAAGAGAATACTAACAGGACGGACACTTAATGGCTGTGTTGGTTGATAACATATGTACGATATAACATGACGGGACTGTTAGGTGCATCTGATACTGATCAGCTGCAGTTGTTTTTGCACATGGACTTGGAACAGCAGGTCATCCTGTTTGGATCAGCCTATGCTTCTTGATTTGTCTCATTTTGAAATTAGCTGAATTTATAATAAACTGTCATTCCGAGAATTAATGAAAGCTGTTTTCTGTACATATAATTGAGTAAAGTCCCTCGTAACATTTAAATATTGTGACTCTCAGTTTAATAGTTTTTGAGTGCCTTTGGGTTTGTTTTAAATACTGTATGTCTCATCTATTGTGATCTTGTTGATGGCATTTATAATAAATAGAGTGATGGCATATTATTGTAGACCAATTCTGAAGTTGGCTTCACGCTTGCTCCTTGACAAAAAAATATAATTAGATGTATGTGTTGTATTTTCGATTATTGTCGAAAGCTCTGTTGCCTTAATCTACTAATGTACACAACATTTATGATTTTTTGTCAATTGGAAGTTTACTGACATTTACATACCTTGTTCACCTGGCTCAAGTGGTGGCTCTGGGGTTGTTGTGTGAGCCACCACTTGAGAATTGTCGACTTTTTTAAGAACAAATGTTTTAATGTCCATCTTCAAAAACTCTGAGTCCGACTGACAGTTTATTTGAAACATTGTCACAGCTCACAGGATAGGTACCTGTCAGCCAATAAGACCGATGTTTATTTCCATTCAACTCTCTGGTTGGTCTGGTGCCTTGCCTTTGTTGCATTCACTGAACACGGGAAATTACAATCCTGCCGTCCTCTCATGATGAGGTTCCGGTTTTTTGATTGATTGATTGAAAAGTTTATTAACAGCTTGTATATTGGGTACAGTACAGTACAGCTCAAAACATACAATTGTTAAGGGGATGCAGACCAGAGAAAGACTTTCGTCTTGTTTACATCAGGGTCCCCCATTTCCAATTCATCATATCATTTAAGACATATAAGACATATTTGATATACAGATGGCTTATTTACAATTTACATACAGGTGGTTTTTTACATACAGATGGCTTATTTACAATTTTCATTTTAGATTTCGTTCTAATACATCCTAACCGGACATTTAAGACATACCAAGTCTACAGATATACAGTTAGTAACAGAGTCTAAAATGCGAGTATATACATAGATGGGGGGGGGAAGCTGTCCATTGTACGACAGGTTGAGATTTGTACCATTACCGGGGCCAGTTTTACAATGCTCTCCCCCTAAGGTGCTCTTTAAGAGAGGTTTTGAAGGTAAGTATAGTTTTACTTTCCTTTACAGTTGTGGGAAGAGCGTTCCACCTTGAAGTGGCATAATTGCGAAACGTGTATTCCCCCTTTTTTGTGCCAAATCTGGGTTTTACATGATTTGTGGAGCTCCCTCGGGTGTTATGATCATGGTATTCCTTGACCTTTGGGAAGAATTTTTGACATGTACATGGGTACCATAGAGGTGTAGTGGATCTTGTAGACCAGGCCCATTGCAAGTAGCTGTACTCTGTCGTCTACTCTAAGCCATCCTTTACCAGGTAAAGCATGGTTAATGTATTATATGATTGACTCAATAATATAATACATGACTTTGAGAGTAGGCAATCTAGGCATATTAACACAATTAATTAAACATACTTATCACGGCGACGGTGTACTGAGATAAAATTCATTTTTTTTTCTCTTTTCATTTTTTGCTAGGGGGCCCTTATGGCGCATTTCCACTACACGGTCGGCCTCGGCCACACTCGGTACGGCTCGGTACGGCTTGGGCCTTAACAGGGCCGACTCACTTCATGCTGCGCTTCCATTACAGTTTAGGAACTGGGGTAGTTACTATAGTAACGCAGTGTAGGCGGAGCCGTGACGTCATCTTCAATGAGAAATCCAGAAACACAACACAGCCGTTAGCTGTTAGCACTCAGAGCTCACAGCTCCTTATATATGTTCAGAAACTCGACAAAAGTTAAACAAGTACACACCACAGACTGCCTGTGTCATGGTGAATACAGTCGCTGCTTTATTTATGTCTGTATAGGCCGTTGTTGTGAGTGTGGACGGTCGGGGCATATACTGCGTTAGCTTAGCCAATCTCCATCTAGAAAAACACGAATTTTAAAAGGTTTTTCGCCTGCCGTCTGTCTGCAGACTTGACAAAGCATTAATTCATGGTTTTTACTAACCGGTATCAGTATGTTGTTACTTCGGCATCATTTTGAAACGTGTATTACAATTAAATCACGGTCAAATATGTCCATCTTGTTGTAGTTCTAGCCCTCTTGCCAGCGCTCCTCTCTCTAGTTTAGCATACTCAGCCCGACTCAGCCCTGTTTGTTGGCCCCGGTAGAACCACAATTTTCTAGGGCCAGAAAAGAGGTGAAAAAGTGGCCCCGCGCCGTGCCGCGCCGGTAATTGGCCTAGTGGAAGCACAACCAAAAAAGGGGACGGCACGACACGGCACGCTTAAAGCGAGCTCCGCGCTGCAGTGGAACTGCGCCATTAGTGGCTGCGGGGCCCTAAGGCGGCCGCTTATGTCGCTTAATGGGTCGGGCCGGCTCTGGTATTTACTGACATACTGACTGGGAACAAATGTGCCAAAGGCCCCACCACATATAATGCACACACTTTATACTTGTTTAGCAGAACACTTCTAAGAGCAGGAGTCGTTGGACACAAAGCATGCCGGGTATCTGTGGTAATGACAATGACCTGCGTTGACTTTATCGAGTATTTTCTGTGAGAATGCCTGGTCTATTTTTGGAGTTGGGCTCCCCCTGGTGTTCATAAGGGGCCCTGCAACACAGACCAGCCGTACACTCTGTATACATCGAAGGCTTCTCAATTCTCTAATTACCCCTCCTCGACTCCCCTCCTCGACTCCTATCCTCGTGTCTTAGTCCCGCCCACAGGAGATGCGAGCGGAGGAGTCGAGGAGTGGAAATTAGATAATTGAGAAGCCTTCATCATGTCAGTATACAGTTTAAAGTCAAAGGGAGAGTGCCAAATGAAAAACAGCTCATTCCTATCATGAAGCAACATTTCTGTCCCCAATTCTACACTTATATCTTATTTGTAATATATTAATATTTCATTTCATTTCATTTCAAACCTTTATTTATCCAGGTGTATCCCATTGAGATCATTGATCTCTTTTTCAAGGGAGACCTGCTCAAGTAGGTTCCACATGAAACATTAAAACATAAACAGAACAACAAAAAGGACATCATACAGCATCATTACAGGGATTACAATTTACATAACTATCCACATGAACAGGTACCAACAGCTTCCGATTGAGTAGCATCCAACCGAGCTTTAAAAATATGCGAATAATTGCCTAAAAGTATATATTTTATCCTATTAACACAGAATAATGCACGTTAAGAAAAACGTTTATATACTTTACTGAGCATTTGTTTAGTGTATATGCTCAATTTTACCATTCCCACAGTAAGAATCATTTTTCCAATAAAATCTTCCAATCTTCCAATAAGCCAGTCTAAAAGTCTAAAATACTCAAAATATTATATTACTAATCCATGTCAATCAAACTCTCTCTAATTCATCTAAGCAACATGTTATATGTCATTTTTCAAAATATGTTTATATATTAAAATAAGTTACATTTATATATCAAAGACAAATGATAAATCTGAATTTAAAGCTCGAAACATTTCATATTTAGATTGAACTTTTTTCACAGTTGAAAAATTGTAAAAAATTAGATTTAACAAGTTGTTTTACAATAATCGATGTTTTAGATGTTATGAAAATGAGCTCAATGTAAAGAACATTTTTGATTTATCTCAATCTAAATTTCGAACATTTTATATTTAGATTGATATTTTTTCCCATTTCATACATTTTAAAGTTGTTTTACGGTAATTTATGTCTCAGATGTGATACAAATGTGCTTATAGTAAGGACATGTTGTTAAATATATATATATAAAAAGCTAAACATGTAAAACCTAATGTAGGCTATACATCCACGATTAATAAATTGTAGGCTATGTGTAAAGCTGAACATATTTCCTAACATCTCTCAGGTGCCTGTCTGCTTCAGTCTCTCTACAGTGCTATCGCTTTAACGGGACGGTGTGACGTTGGGACGGGAGCAGACAGAGCTGCAGCAGCTGCACCGACTCTCGCCCCGGACCAGAACATCCTCAGCCTGCGGACGCACTCAGTGTTTCTCACCGTGGATCCGACCGTCCAGGTCCACAATCACAATCCGCCATGAGAGACTACTCCTCCGCGCCGGGACATGGGGGCGCCTGCATGCCGTGCTGCCAAGTTTGCGTGTTCGCCTTTACCGCATTTCTCATCGTTGCAGAGAGGACGGCGCGTGAGTCTAATACCTGGGACACACTCACACGCGCACGGACACTCAACACACACACACAGACGCACACGCACGCACACGTACACGCCCTGCGCAGTAATTACAAAACACCGAGTGCAATATAACTATCACTGTTTATGTTGATTATAATGTGGTGGCATGTGTCCAGGCGCGCCCTTGTTGTATGTTATTTGACTTTTTTTAGGCGTGCGCGTGCATGTGGCCGCGTGCTTTTTTTTTGGCCACTGAAAGGATGTACAGTGTCAGTGTGTGAGGGCTACAGCGGCTGCAAGACAGATGCTCTCATATTGTACAAGAGACAGGGTTCTGGATGTCCTGTGTGTAAAATCGATGATAATCTTACATGTAAAGTTTGACATGTGTGTTCACTTCAGCCGTGATGAATTATAGAGTCAGAGTCTGCAGTCAGCACCAGTGCGCCTCTTTCCTATTTTTATACACTGCATAATATGAAATCCCGTATGCAGCAAAACTGCAGACTCATGCTAGTGATTCCCAGAGTTACTGTTGTAAACAGCTGTGTCATTTCAGCTCCTGAGGGGAAAAACACAGGAGCCATGTTGTCATATTTCAGCGCCCTTTTTTTTTGGAGGTGCATGAATGGACGAGGGGATGGGCGTACCCCATGATGGGACCTGCTGTGCCCGGACAGCCCTTCCGTTTGGCAGCTAAAACGTTTCAGATTACATGGGTGGAGGCAGAGCTGCAGAGCTCAGGGTGATGTGGGGGGGGGTCTGTAAGTGAGATGAGGAGGCAGCATATTGTTGTCAATAAACATTAGATGGGATGCAGGACGGAGGTCATATGAAAACAAAATACAACATTCTCTATGTTCTGGCACGCTGATGAGGACACTTATTTTAGCACTGCAGCATAAGCAGCATCTTACAAATCACTGCTACACACTTTGCTCTTAGTGTATCGGAACATTGTACAATAACAAGAGAGCTATTATCCTATTGCTGAACATTAGTGATATTATGCATGTGATTTAAAGAGCTGATCTGTTTTAATGGCTTGCAATTATGTATGAAGGCAAGGTTTTTCCAAATATGCACAATGTGATATACTTATTAATCTGAAATGTCTTTGGGATTCAGTCCGTATTTTCTATGTATGTGAGTACTTTTGGGATTTTGTATTGTAGTTATCCATAGATTTAAGCTTTTGTGTGTGTCACCTCTTTCCCCAGTGATCTATTGCTTTGTGTACTATCTGTGGGTGGGTCACAACTACTGCTATGCCTATCTTTCCGGCTTCACTGCACTGTTCCTGCTGCCAGGTGAGGTAACAACAGCCACAACAACATCATCAACAACAACAACAGCATATCCTTCCTATATTTACAAGAGAACAGGGGGTCCTCAATTACAGAGACCAACAAGAAATGTAATATGATAGATAGATAGATAGATAGATAGATAGATATAGATAGATAGATAGATAGACCGATAGATATAGATAGATAGATAGATATAGATAGATAGATAGACAGACAGACAGACAGATACATACATACATACATACATACATACATACATACATACATACATACATACATACATACAAAGATAGTTAAAGGTTATATTTATATTTGTTTAATTGGGTTTCCCAGGTTGGGGTCCTCAGTGGCTCAGTTATCTGTGGTACCTGTGTGATGGACGCATCCGCAGGAAGTCTCTCACCTGGACACACATACTGCACCTGGGTATCTTCAGAAGGTGGGCAAACCCCAATAACACCAGTTCTAACTAGAGAAAATTGTACAGTTTTCTTGAAAAAATCAGACATGCTGAAAGTGTGTTTGTGTTTGATGACTTAACGATGTATATGGAGGCATCTGTTTGTTTCTCTTTTTTAATATATCTTCTTCTTTATCTACATCTGGCCTTCACAGGCTGTGGGAGTGCATGTGTCTGCAGGACTATGATTTGTATGGAGAGATCATGCAGCAGGCTGACGTGTCCGCCTTGCGTCTGTTCGAGGCGTTGGTGGTGACTCTCCCTCAGACGCTGCTGCAGACCTATGTCCTCATCTGCACTGATATAGGAATCAAATCTCCGGGTAATGAGAGCCTGAAAGGAAATGTACAAGTCAGGTGGCCCAGTAGACATGCATAACATAATCAGAACAAAGTTTAGAGCATCAATGATTCATATTTTTCTGCGCCAGTGACAGTCAAAGCCAGAGTTATTATGTTTTCGGGTAGTCTATCTTTGAACGTAATATCTCATCAACGTCTTAAGGAAAGTTCTTCAAATTTCAAAAAAGTGTATTTAACTTGGAAGATAAACTGATTTATTTTGGTCGTCAAAGTTAAGGTCACTGTGACCGCGCGAACCACATTTTTGGAAATAACTTTTAAGCTAATTATGAGATTTTACACAAATGTCGAGTAGGATAGTATGATAAGGTGAGGACGGGCCCAGAAAGGGAGTGACAAAAGTACCATTATGCCTATTATAAGTCTGTATTCAGTACCATCAAAACTATTTTGAGGTAGTACCTTTAAGGTAAAATAATGTTACTTTAAAAACCAACCAATTTCTCTGCCATCTATTTCCAGTGTTTAAGTTGAACATGATGTAGCGTCACATTATATCAAAGTATTCATATTTGTTATCCTCTCTGCCTCCTTCCTCCTCCCTCTCCCCTCCAGCCTCGGTGTGTTTTGTGGTGTGTTTGTTATCTCTTGCCTGGGCCTTGGTCCTTTACGCCCGAGCCTGTTTACTCATCAGACCTGGACACCTACAGATGACCCCCGCTGCCATGCTCTGTCGACTCGTGTGGAGGGTGGGCATCTTCACACAGCTGTCCACCAGACAATAGTATACACACTAAGTATGATTGACATATGCACATGTTTGGTTTTGTTTGTGTAACGGGTATATTTTCTTTGTCTGCAGATCAGTATGTTAGGATCTCGATTTGCGATCCTCATGCTCTTCACACGTATCTTCAAACAATGGATCCTGGGAGTCATTGGTAAGTCTCATTGCCAAAGCTTAATCCCAAAACTCATATTTTTGAACATGACAAAAAGTCAATTTTCTGGATAATAACATGAGTTTAAAGCCTCAAAAGCTGAAATACCTATTTTTTCTGTATGGCTATTCAGTCAGAGTGAACAAATAATTTAAAGTGGACCTATCATGCTATATTATAATAATATAGTGTAGGACCATACCTATATAAGGCATATTTATACTTTTTTTTTTCAAAATACCAAACAGATCATGCATTTTAGCCATGCCTCATTTCGCTCAATTTGCACTTTTTTAGCTCTGTTTTTGCAAGGGCTGATTCTGTGAGAACAGCGCCACCTACAGGCCTGGCATATGTACTACAGCGTCTCCAGCGCTTTCGAACGGCAATGGCCGTGGCTGTCTCCTCCTGATTGGTGGAGTTGGCCCAATAGCCGTAGCGCCACTGTCCTGACGTCAGGACAGTGTTCAAATCTGGATCAGTTTTTATCAGATCCGTTGCAGCCCCTTTTTTTTTAGATTTGGGTATGGAGGAAAATAGAGAGGGTTGTGTTTTCTGACACTTGGTGAGTTCCCTGGAACACCGGGGACACATATTCATGTATAAAAGACGTACAAAAGTGCATTTTGCATGATAGGTCCCCTTTAAGTATTTAAAGACGTTGAATCTTGATTGATCTCATCTTCTCAGGATGTGTCAAGAAGTGTGTTTATTTAAATGTGAAAATGTAATTGGTTATGTGTGCGTGTGTGTGTGTATTTCAGGTGTGCATTGGTTGGGTGCAACTTTTTGGATGGTGTCTCAGCAGACTGACATCATCCGTTCAAGTAATCGATGGAGACTCTTCAACCTCGTTCTGGGAGCTGTTCATATCTTCCTTTTCCTCAATGTGAAGTACGGCCAATCCAGATACCGCATGGCTGGCTTCTACCTGGTATGTGTGTGTGTGTGTGTGTTGTCAGTTCATGCGTGTGTGTCGGAGATTTTGGACAGGGCCATCTAGAAAATTAAGAAAAAATCAACACATAACATTTGTGATGAAAGTTAACCACCCCCATGTTTTTGTTTTTATTCTTCTTCAGGCCATGTTCATAGAGAACGCTTTTCTTCTTCTGGCCTTCTCATGGCTGTTTACCATGGTGTCCTGGGACACTGTGGGGATCCCAGCTGCAGTGTTCTGTAGCTTCCTCATTGGTGAGACACACGGCTACACTATGAAAATACTAAGACGTTTTTACACACACTTGCACGCCTCCATTTCAAGTCATCTCTGTTTTCTACTATTTACCTGTTCCCCTCTCTCACCAGGAGTCATAGCGTTGGTGATGTATTATCGTTTCCTCCATCCCAAGTCCTTTGAGATTTTCCAGAGTATTCGCCACAGGGGAATAGGCGGAGCCTGTGCTGAGCGTGGATCTACGCTATCATTGGAGGAGAAAGTCACGCCTACTTTCCATCGCCATGCAACAACACTGACCGGTCTGTTTATCTATCTATGTATCTATTAGATATCTATGTATCTATTAGATATCTATCTATCTATCTATCTATCTATCTATCTATCTATCTATCTATCTATCTATCTATCTATCTATCTATCTATCTATCTATCTATCTATCTATTTCATATCCTATTGTTGTTAATCTAATCAGGAGGCGGGACCCTTATGGATCTCCCTATCCAATGGGAAGGCTGGAAACATCACCACTGGCTGCTGATTCGCTTAGCCATGAAGACGGGGGATGTGTCTAAGATCTGGTCGTCGTATGGCGAGGGGGGATTGGCCGGACTGATGGGTCTGCCTGAAGAAATCCACTCCCCTGATGTACATCATCGGGTGTGTTGCGTTTTCTTTTTAGCAATTACATTAAGTAGTGAGACTGCATTAAAAACAGTTTCAGTGGAGATATATCTGTCCTATCTGACATGTGGATTAATGTGCAATGTATATTAATACTACTTAAAAAGGTTTTCTCATTGTAATTTGTCCTGGGATTTGTCAGGGTCCACTTATTCCGCCGCAGGTTCCTCAGATCTCACAACCAGCCCCTCAACCGGCTCCACCTGAGGTCAGCCCGGCTCCACAGGCAAGATCTGGGTTTCATTTATCCCTCTTTATCAATTACTCACCCCGTGTTACATTGAATTTGTAAAGAAAAGTTATTGATGAATTGAAGTAGATGGTGGCCACGTAAAACATAAGCAAACGAAATAATGATAACCTCGTACAAATCTTTTATAAAATTCTTTCAGTATAATCCAAGTTTCATTTATTTAGTCGTGTGCTAATAACTACATCAAAAACAGATGCATTTTTGCTAACGACTTGAGACTGTTTAAATGCAAGCATATATATATATATATATATATATATATATATATATATATATATATATATATATATATATATATATATATATATATATATATATATGGAGGTGTGTGGCGCAGTGGACTAGTGCGTTGGTGTTCGGATCAAGGGAGCACAGGTTCAAACCCCACTGCAGTCAGCATGTCGTTGTGTCCCTGGGCAAGACACTTCACCCCAAATTGCTCCTGTGGGGATTTGCTTTGGATAAAAGCGTGTAACAAGTAACATGTAATTTAATGTAATGTAAAATACAATTGTAAGGTTATAGCGAGTAATTGATTTATTTAGTCATTATTTTGGAAGAAATATTAATTTAACTGATAATATAAATTAACATAATAGTAGATTTACACTCAAAGCCACTACTGTATGTGTAGGATTTGGTAATGCAGACACATACAAGCTAAAAAGCTAAAAGCAACACAAAGACTGCACAAATGTTAATGAAATATCAGTGCAGCTATAATAATCACAGTGTACCGTATAAAACCGTTTTAGAACCTGTGTCAATCAAGGGGTCAGCCATCAAATTTGCTAACAGTGTCTCTCAGTGTGTCTGCAGTCTGAGGCTCAGCTCTCTGTCTCGTCCTCAGGTGCTAGCGGACGTCCCACCTCCAAAGCCGGCTCTCTCTACTGTCATAGCCAGACCAGTTAGAAAAGCTCCACCCACAACTATCCAGGATTTGAGACATTTCCCAGAGATCGCCCCTTTCCAGGAGGTCATCATGGAGGAGTCTGCAGAAGAAGAGTCCAGAGCTACACCATCAGAAAGAGGTTGGTTTTAACACTTAAGAGTGGCAGTATCTCAAGCATGATTTTACCTTAGGAGATGGGTACTGTTTTAAACACACTTAATCTTGATTTTTTTTTAAGGTGATGAGGACTTTCTGAGTGCTGCTTACGCCTCGCCCTCACTTTCCTCCCCGCTGCAACCAGACAGCTTCTGTCACATCGACAGCAACATGTCCCTGACCGAAGCCTCGTCCTCCGTAGCCTCGCTGGACATCAAGACTCCCGTCTGGTCACCTGAGCGACGCTCCTCTCTCATGATCAGTTCCCCGGATAAAAAACCATCGATCCCCGGAGAGTCCAGCCACACGCTGTACTTCAGCGCGGATGCTCAGTCCCCCTCCAGTGGGAGCTATCTTGGCTGGGGCTCTGAATTATCGCCCATCTCCACTTACAGGAGTCCTTACCGGATCAGGGAGGCTCGTTTCATCCCTTCCACCCCACGTCTGGAGGCTCGAGCCAGGGCTGAAAGTCCAGGTCCGTCCTCTGTGGTTATCACCCCTGCCACTCCTGGTACAACACCGGGCCCGACCCCAGGAGGGACCCCTGGAACATCGACCTCTACCGCTTCAACTCCCGGTACTGCAACACCCGCTGCTTCAACCCCTGGTACTACCACACCTGTAGCTTCCACTCCTGGTGCTTTGACTCCTGTTGCGACCACACCCGGTGCTCAAGTCGTTCCCCTCACTCCGGTCCTCGCCCACGCTCGCAAACAGATGGTGCAGGTGGTGGACAGCAGAGAGAGGTTGGTGTAAGGAGGATGGGGGGTGAAGGGGAGGATGTGGGCAGTGATGTCTTTTTTTTTGTTAAGCAGTTATGATATACATAAATTCATGCATTAACTATCTTGGCTATCTATCTAGGGGGAGTTCAAGGAATACTTCAACCCCCAAAATTAACATTTGTACAACAATTACTCAGCGTATGGTACCCCCAATTCTTGAAGAGTCAAAACACTTAATTTAAGTTAACGGGGGTTGCGTTTAACAACAGCAAAACTGTATCAAAACATCCAATACAATTAAAGTCTCGTTTATCAAGTCAGAAATGTATTACTTCCCTAACACATGCAATTTTGCTAAACCTTAATTTTAGTCCAGGAACGCTTCTTGGCCATGCCAGTCCGAAGAGTTTATAGGGAAGTTTTAAATGAAAAGGCATGAAAAGGTATGAAAGTGCAGAAGCATTTCTTCAAGAATTCAAGCTAACACAGGGGGACTTACAGGATACAAGGGTTACATATACAGAAAATGAGCATGCATTGGTATCACACTTGCCAACCACAGGAAATTATCTAAATTCTCAATAATAGTACCTCTGGCTTTGCTGTACGTATAACGGTCTTTAAAAAGGGAAGCGATGCATTTAGGTCCGTGTTGCTGCACATTACTGCTAGATGGTTGGTGTGCCTGCAGGAAGGAGGGTGATGTAGGAAACTCTTTGCAAGCTACTGTGAAAAGGCTAAAAGGGAAGCATCTGGTGAATTTAAATGTATGAGGCGAGGCACGTGGTCGTCTGGTTCCTGCCGAGGCAATCACAAGCCATTCTAAATATTCAGTCCTATAAAACCATTAATACAAAAAGATGGTACGCACTACAGATCATTATTAACAGAAGATTGAATCTCGTTACTCATCAAGAGAACACACAGATTCAAAGGTGCTAATGAATGTGGGGCATGCTTTCATTTAGATTATATAAACCCTTCCACTTTTTGGGGAAACTAACCATAACAAACCTAATGCAGGCAGAGTAGACAGCTGAGATTTGCTTTTTTGTTTTACTTATCATAAACATTACGAGCATATTAAATTATGAGCGGTGAGGAAATCAAATAACATGATAAAGTCAGAGACTTTTTGAATTAACCAGGTACTTTAAAATAGTTTACAAACACCAACATGCTGAATCTCTTCTAACTCTTCTCACAAATGAATCTTTCTTTTTTTATTCTGATATAATCAAACTAATAATCTGCAATGAAATATCAAAATACTGCAAACCTAAAGCTTTTACGATGATGTTGAACATCCCGTCCAGTATTCAGGAAGCCACTCATTCATGCCACGAGTTAGGTCCTGTGTCCACTACAGTACAGTACATAACACACAGTACTGACACACACTCTTATTGAAATCTGTTAAACAGTTAAACATCTATTCACTGATGTAAACATATTTTATCCAATAAATGCTCTATTTTTTTCTTCGCTAATTTTAATTGCAAACATTTCAGCTGGCACTTTACAGCAGAAGGGTGCAGCTACAGTATCATGATGTGTGTAGACTACACTTTATAACATTAGAATATGTAAAAGAGAAATTGTAGTAGAATATAAAAATATTGAAGGGATATCAGATCCCATTTTATTACATGCCTTTCTTTGTATCCGTATCATTTCTTTTTTAAGTTAATGATGGCTTGTTTTGATCTATTTTACAAACAAATATTTTGTTTGGTATTACATTTTACTGAGTGATTCTCTCATAGCATTCAGAATTATTTTGAAAAGTGCAACTTTTAAAATGTTGCTGAACAAGAAATAACTTACTCAAATGTACACAATACAGAGGAGAAACCTATTTTAACAAAGTTTAAATATAATATGTATATATATAACTCTAAATGTATCTCATATTCTCTTCTAAAGCCCACTTTACTCACTAATAGGTTTGTCCTATCTTTTAGTTGAACCTCCTATCTTAGTAAAACTGAATTGTGACAAACAGATTCATTTGTTTATGTTGCAATGAGAAAATGCAATTTCTTACTGAAAACTTTGGTTGAACATTTAGATAAAGAAAGAAACAGGGAACATTGTAAGGGGCAGAGGTATTTAATAGAAATATTGCAGAAAGGGAACATCCTGGGTAATGTGCTGCTATGAATGTCAAGCTTGGTCGATGCCAGTATTATGTAACGTTATGAGTATTATTCATTTTAATATATGAAAGCCGATTGTAGTCATACAAAGAACAATATCAGTCTTCCATGTATATTTGTCTTCCGTTTTTATTTACCTATGCTATATTATTTTACTTTCTTTGTTTATTTCTTAGCACATAATAACTATAACGTAAGTTCTATATCTGACAATGAGCAGTTTGGTAATGAAACATTTTGGGAATATAATTTGTGGTTTATGGAACAATGTACAGAGAAGAACATCCTGAAACTGTGTAAAACTGTTATCCATAGACCTGCTGATTGACAAAAGAGTCACTGCATGTTACTCCTTCATCCAAAGAATTGTATCTGTTTCTTTAGAGAAAGAAAGCACTCGCTGTAACTTCATACACACACACTTCATAATAGTTAACACACATGCTAGAATGTATGCGTTCACAAGAGCTATAAGCAAGCTAATGAAATGTATCTTAGTGCACTAAAAAAAAGAATCTACGCACACGCTTCAGAGTGCAGCGATGCCTTGGCTTGATCGTCCTGACTCAGCGCTTTGCCTTGTAGACACTCAGTCGCTTGTTAATAAAGTGTGTATTGCTTTATATAATACCAATATGCTTTGCTCTGTGTACCTGGTGTGTATGATAATCTTTGCTTGTCTTTCTACTTTGTTTTATTTTGTATTCTTTTTAAATTCCCTTCTTTTATATTGATCACATGTACTGTTATGAAATGTGTGGAGAGCCAAGGTGCGGTGTGTCAAGGTTACACATTGATTTAGAGACAGCATTGTTTTCAATAACAGATTGAATAGTTTGCTGATTGATTGTAACGTCACTTAGACACTGGAAGGCCTCCATTTATCAACATGCATCACCTCACCTCTACAAGGATCTCCACAGTACTGTGGCTGCTGGTAGTGAGTCATTAACTGTGCTAATGATGTGGCAAAATAAAGTCATCAGTCATGATCAAAGAGGGCTGTTTTGTGATTTTATTGATGGTCCTTGATTCATTTACAATTAGTGATGTTTCATTTATGTGTTTGTGCTTACACAGATAGGTGGAAATGCATAATCCAAGTGTAAAGTATACAGTGATAATAGTTTTCTTTGACCATGTTGGCATAAGATGAGCTTCAATAATGAAGGTGTTGTTGGACCAAGAATCAGGTAATGAAGCAGAAATCTCCCAACCAGGCTGTAAATATTTGAGTTTCTATTGTGCTTTGAATAATTAAGTCCAATACAACTTTATATATTCTTGCATGACATTTTTTAAGCAGCAGCTCATCACACAGGTCAACAAAAGCACCCCACCTAAAAAAAGGATCTGTTTATTTGCCACTTGATTAAAGTTGGTGTGCTGTGCTTATTATATTTTTCTCATCTCATCATTTTTAAAGTCAGATGACAGACTCTTAAAAGGAAGAGAAAGTGGCCTGGGGACCAGCATGTTTTCCGTGGTCAGTGATTCACAGCATGAAACAGCTCAAACGCCCCAAAATAAAAATAAATAGACAAATACAATACGATATTATACTCTCACTTTACCTATAATAAACGTTTTTTGGTTTCAAAAGGTTTCATTATAGCTCTTTTATCGTAACATTTCTACCAAATGAACTAAGGTGTGCTACAACAGTCTTCTTTTAAAATAAAACGTCAATTTTTTGCATGTGTTTAAATTGTGTGTTAATGGGTAAATATGTATATTTTTGATTATACTCTATTATACCTTACCTTATAGCCTACCTTTTAAAGTCGACTCAGATTCACATTTAATTAATAATAATGATAATCCTAATATTATTAATTATTCTTCTACCATTACCACTACTACTAAAATAATAAAATAGGGTGTGGTTCAGCACCACCTAGCGTTCAGATTGAAGTAGTGCAGCTTTACTCCATAACGCTCTCTTGTCATTAAGGTTTTACCAGTTCAATCCAGATTTAGATCATTTGTCTGGAAATGTGTCTGTGAATGAAACACATGATTCTGATGATCTTACAAACCAAGAAACCCACATATTGGAACAAAAAACGAGAGAGTGACCTTTTCAGCGCCGGTCACATGAGCTGCATTCATGTGACCGTATCACGTGGTACCAGCGAGAGTAAATAAAAGAGGAGGACCATCTCATAAATGAATCACAGTTTGTTAACCTGAGACAACTAGAGACAAGAAGGGGAACCTGGAGCTTAAGATTTAAAGTTCACACAGCTGACACACGAGCTACAGGTAAATTACTTATTTTCTTGTCCCTTTGTCCTCCACTTTTTACCACTTCCGGTTCTCAGTTAGATACAGTTTGTTTACACGGTGAGTAAGCCATTTGCTAACCTAGCTAAATGTATTACACTTTGATTAAACTAGTAAAAAACACATGACTAAATCTCCAGCTAATATTGTTGGACTGACCTTACTAGTTTCATACACAAATCCGTTTGAATCTAGTTTGTTGTCATATCTTCAAGTTGGTTGTTGTTTTGACTGCCTGACCCATTTTAGGTTTCATGTTCAGAGGTGATAAGATACAAATGTGAAAGCAGGGCGGCTGACACACACCTATTCATGATTAAAGGACACATGGTCGGGGAATATGGTGTAGGCAGCATATGCAAATAAATAAAGGCAATAACCTAAAACCTGATGTTAAAATGTATATGAAACCTAATGCTAAACTGGTGTCACATCAATGAAGTGGAAAGTGAAACTATGTTTTGCAAGGGCTGGAGGCAGCCATGCTGTCCTCTGCTTCTACTAGACAAACAAGATAAGCTGAGACTTGTTTTACAGATGTATTAACATGTCAGAGAAAGGGGGAGTATACGTTTTATGGAACTGGAATAAATTGTCCTTTTAATTATGCACTCGATTAAAACACCGTCTGTTCTTTGCAAAATAAATTGGAGGGAGGACATGAAAAAGTGGTACATTTGCAATCACAAGCCAAATTGTCATTGACTGTCTTATCTATCGAGTAAATCAAGTATTGGATCCGGGATCCCCCTTCCCGTTAGCAGGTCCTCAGTACTGTGATCTGTTAGCAGAACAATGGAAAAATACAACTAGATTTATAGTACAGTCGTACAGATGTATCAAACTGTGGGTTAACTAGTTGATCTGTATGTGCAGGTAAGATGAATGGTGTGTCTGTTACTTTTTATGTTCAAGAAATGATGTACTTTTATAGTAATCTGGCTCTAATTCCAGCTAATTTTGCAGGAAGAAAAGAGAATAATTGTAAAAAGTAACATCACAGAATATTGCTTGGTCCCACATACAGTAACTGATCTAATTTTGACACTTGAGTTTGGAGTCTTTCTCTTCAGAGGTACCATAGTGATCAGCATTATTCTATGAAAGAAGACTCAACCCTGAGTGTTGTAGGACTCGTCATGTGAAGATCATCGGTTCCACGTATAAAGGTCGGAGGTGGAGAGGAAATCAAATTCATTTTCTCGGTGGCTTTGGCTCCGACTCACCCATTTCTGCCTGTATCACTTAAATCTACCACATAGAGGAACATGCACAACCCCTGACCTTTTATAAAGCTGTTTGTTACTCATCAAGCTCAAAGCAGGGCTGCCAAAAATGTTGAGATGCAAACAATGTGTCCTTACAGTCGTGATTGTGACTCAGCAAATTTCATGTAGCTTTTGTGAGTTGTGCTATGACAACTGTTGAAAGTCATGAGACTGATTTTGACAGATCAGCAAGCTGAAGGTTCACTTCCCCCCCAAAACTCATCTAAAGCATATTTTTATCTGCGCAGCAGTTATGTTTGTGTGATTTAACCACTTCTCTAAAAACTAAACGTGTCCTGTCAACTGAATTTCTGTTGTGACCCAAAGCTTTCAATAATTTGCACATAGTAAATCGCTTTGCAGATCATTGATATAGTTCAAAGCTTTAGAAAAAATGTATGACTCTGAAGTCCCCACAACCAATCTGTACCCACAATCTAGTGGTAGATAATGAACTTCTACCGATCAGAAAATGACTGTCCATTTGTGTTGCATTCCGTAATCAGATAAAGAGTAGCTTGTGGTATTAAAGAAATCTGAGCACAGAAGCCTTGTTTAGATTATAGAGAAAGGAAAACAAGTGGTTTAAGACCTCTCTCTGTAAAGAGGGTTATACAGTCTTAATTCCCCCTGTGTACTTTTTGCTGTATATTTTCATTGGCCTCAGTCATGCGTCATTAAACCAGTTCCTCTGAGATTCATATTTCCTCTGTTTCTCTTCTTCTTTCTCTGTAATAAAAGAACAGGACATTCTTAAACAGGTGCGCTGGTGACCGAGACAGACTTGTGTTTGCCAGGGCAAATCTGAGTTTGGCATGAGACTGATTTCAAATGTAGTGATTGGTAATCTTACCTGGAACAAAATAGAGTGATACAGAAACATTATCTCAATGCTTAAAAATAATATCCGACATTTTTTTCACTTCTCAAAGTAATTTGTTCTTCGCTAGTACTGTTTGGCTCACCTCATCTGTTGTCCTCTTCTTTAAGAGTTTGAGGCTGCATGTTAAGCCACTCCCTATATGCACTGGTATTGATTCTTAGCACACTCCATGCCTCATATTTAATAGCCTGCATTATGTTTTCTAATGGATCCATGTCTGGAGCTGATCTCATCTCTCACCAGTGCACTTCACCTCTCCTGTGTATCTTTGAGGGCAAACCTGGACCATTACCAGCATGCTTTTATCTAAAATCTAAAAGACTGCATACATTAGCATTCACAAGGTTTTTTTTTCTGCAGAATGAGGATGTTTTGTTCTCAGGGTTTTTTAAGGGGGAACCGATACCCTGTCTGTCTAGTGTTGAATCTAAGGTATTGGTTACATTTACAGAACTATATTGTAGATGCCTGCTGATGCAGCGTGTTTAACCATTGGAAAGATGTGTCAAGCAGGACTGAAAGTAAGCGGTTTTCTCTGTGTACACTGTGTGTGCATGTTCCACTTGTAGCTGCAACCAGAGTGACGAAGTCTATCCAGCTGTGGGAAAATGTTTCTCTTTTTTTAATCGGAAGTTTCAGGAGTCTACGTGAGTGTGTTCAAGCATATCATTGGATCGTATTGATTTACAATCGACACAGAATTTCTCCACATAGTTTTTATAAACTGCTCCCTTATCTTAGCCTCTTACCTTTTTCTTATCGTTTTCTCAGTAAAATGTTCTTACTCAGTCACTTGGGGCTAGATAGGCTCCTGCATGTTTGTTCTTATAGCTTTCTTTGTAAGACATTGTTATCCCTTAAGCCTAGAGCCTTTACTGTGATTGGTTCAGAGAAAAAAATCTAAATGGATTCTTTTTGCCACGAAATGCATTAATGAATTTGGGACATCTCTGCAGACTATAGTTAATCCAGAATGGTATTTTGCATTCAACTATTTGTATATTACACTATATTGCAATCAAATGTTGCTACATTTGTAAGCCCTTATTTGTAATGTTGAACAAACACTCCTTCACTTTGTATTTTTCAGGAACAATGTGGCGTGCAGCTTTCCTGTTATTGGCTGCCAGCTTGTCTGTGAGCCTGGCCGCACCCCGCCTCCTTCCACTGTCCAGTGAGATGGTCAACTACATCAACAAGATCAACACTACCTGGACGGTGAGTTTCTTCTTTATTTTTTGTTTTTATTTTCTTGAAAGCTGTTTTTCCCCACTAAATCTCCTTCTTCTCCTGCAGGCTGGTCACAACTTCCATAGTGCCGACTACAGTCATGTAAAGAGACTCTGCGGTACGAGGCTGAATGGACCTAAACTGCCCGTCATGTGAGTCTCATTAGTGAAAGGACTTCAGATTTAATTATGCTCTATATCCATATAGGTATTTGCTGTGTTGTACATCCCTTAATTCTCCATAAATTGTGTACGTTACAAGCAGTATAGAACAACACTCCTACCCTACCTGCCCACCATAAAACTGTAGTTGTAAGTTAT